CTTTTTTTCGTTTTATCAGGATCTTCAGAATTCATTATGATGTGGCGATAAGATGGCGCGATACTTTTATTTTTTGTTCATACTGTCTTTGTTTACTTTAAAAATGAAGCACAAATCAATAATGGCCAGGAGTCGAGAATATAGTACCAAATCACTAGAGCAATGTTTATTTCGTATTTTAAAAAGCAATGGATTTGAATTTGCTAGGGTCAAAATTTTAATTGTAATAAGAAAGATTTTAAAATATTCCAAATTGACTGAAACTTTTATAAAAGATTAGACAATATTGAGAAATTCTCGCCTAAAACTAATTATAATGGAACGGTACAATTTATTGTAGTTGGTAAAATTTCAATCGAGTGATTTGAACAGCTGTCATTTCATCTCCGCTTAAGTGGTATATTTGAAACAATGTATTTGACGCAGAAGATGCAATTTTTAAACAAACTAGTGATAAATAAAGGATATTAAGAAATCAATTGCATTCTGCGCTTCCATTTCGTTGTACACATAATACATTATTGATAGTCATAAAACGGAATTTCTTTCAATCGACTGGCTGTGATCGAAAAATGTCGCTTGAAATCCCCAATTATAATAAATTAAAATACCGATAAATGGATTATTGAAAAATTACATTTGTGCAGAGATATTTCTTTTTAATATTGTCCGACTACTAGTTGGATCATTTTTCCTTCAAAAACTAATCCTAATATCACTCGAGAATCAATGAAATCACGAAATCTCTTATACCGGTCATTAATTAATATTATGGCTCTGTTGACAGTTATATCCATTTCCATCAATTCAAAAGAATTAATGATTAGCACTGTGAAGAGTACGGAATTTTTAATTTAAATTTGTCCTTTTACTTCTCACTGGAATTGTCGTTACATTCATTTTTTGGATTCTGACTCTTTTGGAAGCTCACATTTCCATGAAACAATAAATTTTTTAATGCTTTGAATCAAATTTTATTGCTTTGATCGTTTTTCATGAGAAATTATCATGTGCAATATACTATGTTTATTTTTTCGACAGAATTATTTTAGCTCCGAGATTAGTGCTAATGCACTGTGAGGTTTACTTTTTTTTTGAAAATTTTGAATTACGGTATTTATAGCTCTATCCAATTAATCAGGAATTATGAAATGGAAAAATTTTGGAAGACATAGTACTTTAATTCCTTCTGGTAGTCGAGACATTTAGACATTTATCTGAACCAGCAAGGTTTGAAATCCAGGAAATGCGCTAAAAAACAATTTCACAAATTAATTGATTTAGGTAAATCGTCTGTGTTTATCATACTTATCTTTAAATACAGCTGTCAATTGGATTAACAGATGCAAGCTGTAGAAGGAATAATGTTATGATAAACCGAAGCTATAATGTGCTCAAAGCAGATTATACGATTGTGCCAATAATTCTTTCTTGTCACTTATCCGATACAAACAAATTAAAAAGAGCATATCATAGTGATGCTCACTTCGCAACAAATCTGATACTATCATTTTATAACATTATTTTGTACTTTAAAAAGCTCTTCACTTATGCACTATCTTTTGGCCATTTTCAAAGCTATGTGAGGGAAGGAGCTGACCAAACGCATGAGATTCATTAATTGACAGTTGATTCATAAACTTTTTGTGATCTCCCCTCAATTTATTTTGCAAAATTGCTGAAAAAAAAGGTTAAAGGTCAGAGAACATTAAGGCATCTATCTATTAGTAGTGTATCCATGAGCTCATATTGCATAATGTTGTGATAATTATTTGCTAGAAGGGGGTGATTATGGTTGCGCTCAGTGTATAAATCGCTTAATGAGTACTGCTAAAGTTCTTAGTTCCATATATATTCATCAGAAAAATAATTATTGGTTTCAAGTTATTTTCTCATAAGATTAGATAGAGAAAGAGGTGAAAAGGTTGATAGGTTGAACCATTATTCATGGTTCACTTCGTGCTTTATTGCTTTTTTGTATTCTGAATGAGAGGAATAGCAATGATTCTGAGAAAGGAATAAAAATTAATGTTGCATCTGATCCAATGCACATTTGTTTACAGAGAGCATCTGTTCGACAAGTGTACTCCAATCATTTTTTATCCAAATTTATGGAAAGATGTTTCTTTCTTTTTTTGTAGTGTTTCAAATTTTCCCATAGCATTCATTCACTTGCACTTTTCTAACTATTATTTCCTGTAACAAACTTAACAATCGTTTAACTGAATCTAATTATGCATCAATTTTCAAAAATTTCAATGCAATTGTATTAATTTAATGTAACAATGAATGAGCGTTGATAAATTGATGAAAATGTAAGAAGAATTCTCAAAACTTGAAGTTCATTTGAAATAGGTCGAAGTAAAACTAACGTTTCGTACTAATGTTTCGTTACTTGGAAAACGGCACGAAATATTTAGAAATTTTGGTTGATTTGTGACATATGGTTGCACAACTGTTGTAGGATACATGCATATTTGAACGTGCATTAAACCAATGGATAAGTATCATAGAACTCCTTATAGTATCCATGCGCTCTTCCACTCCATATTTCTAATTGCCTTCAAATGTTTATTATTGTTCATTCCTTCAAATTTCAAACTTGTCTCGTTCAATTCTTGCTTTACATCAACCGATCATTGATATTATTGCTACTACTGATGCATTTATGGCCATTAGTGTTGTCATTGCTAGCGGTATAATACAAAACTTATGTTCCGAGTGGTACTTCAAAAAAACCGTAAATCAGTAATTATCTCTAAGGTCCTCGTTTCTGTCAATTCTTTTTATTATTGCCGACTTTTGACCGGAACTTAGTGTAAATTATGGTCATTTTGAGGACGTCGAACAATGATATCCGCTATACGATTCATTTAGCGGACAGGAATACTTCATAAATTTACTTCGGTACATGTATACAGAGCAATATATGACTTTTATCTTGCCTTTTATGTCCCAACAATTCACTGATGCTACCAGTTTGATATTTGCATAAGTATTTCGCGATCAGCAAAATCGTCAATGTTCTTTTATTAATTTTTCATTACTTCCAGCTTTTATTATCATCATCAAAATAACCACTCTATAAAAACTGATTTCTTTCTGTAACCGTCATTCATTGATTCTTACCATCCAACAATTTTATGTTTTTTTTTTAAACATTCGTATTTTTGATGAAAAACTTTAATTTTCTTTTTAATTAGCTTTTTTGTTACAAAAATTCATTATCGCCTTTTACAATGTCGAAAAAACAAGAAATTTCAAATTAAATTTCCTAAATTCATGAAACAAACAGTTCGTTCACTATTAGTACTCAGCTAAGGAAAAAACGGAATGAAAGAGACAATCTCTGAATGATAGGGGGCGTGCCACTAATTTGACAGCCGAATTCATCAAGGCGGAGAGGAGAAACGCTATGTGGAAAGGACAGAACTAGTATGGGAGAATCGGAAGACAGGTGATCACGCTTGCCTCAATTTGCTCTTACCTTTGCTCCCTCTAATTCAGTTATCAATTCATAACACAATGTTATGAACTTATTCATTCATCATCAACGATAGTTATCTCACCGGAAAATCCAGATTTCAGTGGATTGTAGGAGGTTTTAAGGTTTAAATATTACAGAAATTAAAATGAAAATTAGCTTTCTTTTAATTTGTCTAAGCTTCTACTACATTATACTCTTGTCATTTATTTTTTGTCACGAGCAATTTTTGTAAATGACCACTTTTTTGCTCATTCACTTCTTCTCTGTAAATTTGTTATTGTATAAATTAACTTCAGAATTTGAACAGAAAGCTTTTCTGCTTTTTGACAATTTATATTAAAAAAAATCTTATTTTATTTCACTAGCAAAATGTGGAATTTAAAAACTTTTTCAGCAAATCTAAGAACTGAAAGTCCAATCATTGAATTTTCTTTTTCCCGCAGTTCCAGCCATGCTTCAATTTCTTCTAATGTCCTCTAAGAACTTTTGTGCATCAGTTTTGTTAGGTATTTTCATGATCTATTGAAACTAATATGGATAGTTTTAGTTAAAAATAACTTTACCTTTGAAAATGAATAAATGAAAAAATACTGATTCCCATTTTCTGATCTACGTCAAGTACCATGTCAGCTACTTCATTCCTTTTTCATAATAACTTTCTTCAAGTATATTTATTTCTAAATACTCCACTTGCATATTTGTTTAATTTTTACAATGATTTTTTGTCATTATTGTGTGTGCCAATTGTTTCAACTAGTCACTGTTTCAGACAAACGAAATTGTACAAAGCTGAAAAAGGCTTCAGCAATTTTTTGTAATTGATGAGGACTTTTTATGAAGTAAATCAATTGAAATTATTTCATCTCCCATAACTATTACAAACGGTCCTCCCATTATACTACCCACTATTGATTCATTAATTTCCACGAATAATTAACATTGCTTGAACTATTCCTGCAATTCTACATTTCAGTTCTCAAAACAAAATCTCACTGATACTTTCCTATCACTTTTAAAAATGAATTTTTCTAAACAGATTTAATTTATAAAAAAAATGCAAATTTCATCAGGTGTAAATAATTATCCATGAGCTTTGTTTTCGCGCGATAAAATATAAAATTGTAGGAACAATCTAAAAAACGGTTAATTATTTATACAAATTAGCGAGCAAGTAAAGCGACTTTCATTTTTATAAATCATCAGTAATCGATCAGTATAGGAAAAAATACATTTCTCGTAGTTGTAAGAAAGATTAAATAATTTTAAATTGTGAAAAAAATAATTATTTCATAAACAACAAATTCCCTTAAATTATCATCATATGAATAAACAAACAATAAATCCAGACTGTCTTGTGTGATATATAAAAAAAGGGGGGTGAAACATATTCTTGCTCAGTGACATTCGGATGTGAAAAAAATAGCTTCCCACAGTGACATCAATCAAACGATCATTTTATTAAACTACAATATAATGAATTATAAATTGATTTTACTACAGGGAACAAATATTGATGTTCACACCTTGTCTTGGAATCATCTTTCAAAGAGTTGCAGATAAGAAAGTTACCGGACACAAACTGTTTCAAAGTTTCATCGAGGTTATTTATCAGTTTAGTACCTTCGGGTTAATTTTATCATTTAAAAGGTTAAAGGATGTGAAGATATTCCCAAAAAAGTATACACATTTTGTTTAATTCAATTACCGAGAGATTACTCGAAAAATGTACTATCTCAGGAAAATAAAGTATGCTTCTGGAATTCGAATTTAGTGGAAGCAATAAATTCCACAAAATATATTGGCTATATTAAGCCATCAACACTATTTATAACTTCAATTAGCGAGCAACATATGCAAACACTGCGCGATGCTTGGATTCGACGGATTTTGAAACCAGCAAAAGGATACCGAATCGAGACTCTTGGTAAACATTTTTAGCCTTTGACCACTGACTGCATCAGTTTTTTTAGCTTTGAGCGATAACGAAATTCGTTATTTGAATTTAAAGAGTAAGATGCTTGGACTTTCTCAACAGGATAATGAAAAAGCATCATGAGATGGAATGAAAATATAGATAAAGATGATACTGTACTTTTTATAATGAACACTATGGGAAGATTGAGGTCGAGAGTAACGAGAGGTGAGCACCTGTCGGGGGATGAGGCGTATGGAGAAGCCTTCACGAGAGGGAACTGAACACACCTGTTAGCATGAAATCCGAGATAAATAGGATCAGTAAATGGGTATCATAAAAGCCTTGCTTTTACACATGGAAACAGATGTCCACAATCATATAATTCCATCTTATAACCTTCACAATTCAAATTCATTTACCAAATTATCCTTTTACTTTACTACTGATCTTATCTCTGAGAAAGTTGGAGATAAAATCAGTATCAGAGGTAGGACTAAAATTTAGAGGTCAATGCACCTTTCTTCGAGAGTCTTCTTGAAATTTTCATCACCATTGAAAAACCAGTCGACAATTCGGAAAAAAAGAAAGAAGATAATTTATAACAAGTATGGTCGAATAACTGGTATCAAAAGGTAGTCCATTGTCAAATATTTAGCAGATTTCAACAAAGTCAACATATTCATAAATAAAACTTAAAGAAATGTCGCAACAGGTAATGCCTTCTTCTTACATAATTATTATCCCCTGAGAACGATACTACTGCTTCTGTGCTCTTGGAAAATCAAGTCTGTCTCGTAAAAATAAGTAATTAATTAAAGAAATGGTTATATTTCAGGTGACGTGGAAAATATTGGGATGCATAAGATTGATCAAATGCATTTAGTACCATTGCTGGATATTATTTGTGATGTGATATTCAAAATGAATCGAAGTGGCCGTCCAGCAGTTTTGGATGCTTTGCTGAATGAGATTCGTAAAGAATATCCAAAAATAGAACCTCCCTCACCGAAGACATTTCGGCAAGCCATTCAAACCCTCTTGAAACAGAAAATCTTGAAACATGATCTGGAACAACTGTATATCTGTTTTCCTCCTACAGCGCCTTATCACACCATCAAAATTCCTTCCAAATGTACCGTCGAATGCCAAACTGGACAAAGTGTCATGAACGGCTGTGCTCCGTCAAATTCATTGAAAATCAAAAAAGGTCTTCAAATATAACGTCCATTAGTGAAGATTTAAGAAGGAACAAATCCTGTTTATACTTCAAAACTCAAACTGTTTTCAGGCAAAAATAGCAAAAACCAGCAAAAACCAAAAAACCGTGTTTGTGAGAAACAGTAGGTAAAAAAAACCAATGTTAATTAAACACATTTATTCATTTCTATTTAGGTCTACTGACCAGGTTGTTCATGAAAAAAGACAACCTCCTGAAAACTTCGCGACTTTGTCAAAACTCCAGTAGTCTCCCAGAACAATGGAAAAATCCGGAGGTGCCAACATCCAGTGCTCAATCAAACACCACTGGCGAAACATCTTCCACAGCACAAAAGTAATGTTCTTAAAACTCTCTCCTGAAAACGGTGGTTTTTTTGTTTTCAGTTTGGAACTGATTAATTGGGGTGGTTTTGTCCGCAGTTTTTAATGGCTTGGAATCCAAAATATTTGGCCGAGGTTAGGGAGAGGCGCGATAGACTAGCCTACTATGGCTGAGGGTCGAGGTTTAGCAAATTAGCCATGAGCGATATAGAAAGGCTATAAGAGACATAAAAATTGTTGGGTTTAATCAGAATTAGTTCTATGATTCCTAATTTAAACCTACTGGAAGATGTTGCTGTGCAATGTCAGGTTTGGCGTATTTTGCTTTCATAATACTGAAACATCGCATGATTTTCTTCCATTTTCTTCAGATTCTATCTATCTCTATCTGGTCTATCTAATATATATATTTGCTTGTCTGTGTATGTATGTATGCATTCCATAAATTTATTTTTTGAGGTCTTTTTACTAGTGATTTCTATTCCAGAACAGTTATATTTTCAGTAGAAGGAATGTTCGTATATTTCAAACTTTCATTATAAAAGTTGTCGTTCTTCTGACGAGTATTATAATAGTTTTTTTTGGCTGCTAAATTGCACTTAAAATTTTCATCTCCCAGAGGTTGTCACTTTCCATATGTTATTTATTAGTTATTTTTTTTTTCATTTATGAACTGGATGTTATACCCGTTCCACATCTTTTCTCTAGCTCTTTCTATTCCATGCTTTGTGGAATTTAATATTACATCCAGTAAAATATATTTCTCACGTCCCCTATCTTGGGTTGTATTTGATGGCGAATTCCAGTAAAGTTGTTTATTTCTCATGAATGTGCCATTAAATCCTTCATTCTTTTTTGCTGGGAACTCATGATGTATATTCATTCCTGGATCTCTCTGCCCGTATGGTTTATTTTGCTGGATGTTAACATTCACTTATTTTTAAAATCTCATTTAACAACTTCGTTAATGAGCATTACATTAGGTTAAAGATTTAAGCATCACATATTACTCTAATGCTACATTTCAGTTTTCTGAAGATTCAGAAAAGCATATTTCTTTTCCTTCACTTTTCGTGCTTTTTTTGCTCTCGCCCTCTCCTCAGTGATTTTCTTTAGATTTGAAATAAACACGGTTCTCCTTGTAGTTTACTACTTTGGTCTTTAAGTCTAAATAAACATTCGAATATCTTCAGCTTTATTTGTGATTTATAGACTTATCATATTAGTAGACATTGAGGCAACGTGAGATTTTTAGATAACTGTTTTATATTTTATGCTAGAATTTTAGTGTGTTTCACCATAAGTTTTATTACGTCGATTTTTGAGGCTTAGATAATGTTCTGGGTTGACAATCAAAATATGTGAGAAGTTGACATAGTCTTTTTGCAGGACACACTTACCCTATGAGAACAAGTTTTATCGAAGTTGGATAAAAACGAACGACCAATACGTGCCGAATAATTTCCGTTCTGTGGATCCTTCAGAATATATCCCATGCTTGACCAATTGTAAAGGTATTGATAATAAAACCAAACGAAAAAAAAAACCGAGAAAGAAAACGAATGAGAGAAGGTCAACTTCAGTTCAGCGAGGTTCAGATTCGGCATTCTCTCTCTCCCCCGTAATTACCGAAATTTCAAACGGTTTTTATAATAGCCAATCTGGTGACATCTCTCCCGAAGAACCGACCGTAGTGAATCGAAATCATACGTATGTTAACATGCTGAACAACGAAAGTACACAGTTCGAGGATATCACACAAGTTGAAAAAATTTTACCGACAACCTTAAGTATTACTAATGTTTGAATTATATGTGTGTTAACATAAAAAATTGTACTTTCTAGAAGTCTTATGCTGGGTACTGAATGAGGAACACTGTAAAAATACTGGTAATTTAAAAGGAATCATGCTTAAAACTTTATTGACTTTCTCAAAACTTTATCTTGTCTTTTTGCACGAATTTCACGGCATTTTGAAAGTATTTGATAGCATGATTTTTTTTTCTTGATATGTTTATACGTTTATTGTTTCAGCGATGAAGACTTTTAGTTTTACGTGAGCGCAACACCACCTTTTACTTAGGTGTATGAGATCTTTTTTCGCGGTTATTTATTAGGTTTCAATTGGATGAATGAAACTTATTTAAAAGAAGCATAACTCATATTTAGAATACTAAATGGGAAATGACGAATGAATCATATTTGTTATAAGAATTAAATTTACCCAAATTTCTGACGAATTATTTCATTTATATTTAATTAGAATACTTAGTTAATGATTTAAAAGACTCTAAAGCAACAGGACATAATCATTTTTTAGTTACAATTTTATTACATTCCAATAGTCTATATTTCGAAAAAGAATTAACAGTTTTGTCTACCTCGCCACTCTGTTTTATTCGCTAAGTGGGCTTCTTGCACTTTCGTTAGCCCGACCTTCGCCTATTAACATGTGATAAAATAGTCTGTTTGATTCGAAGTTTTCCGAATGTGGGCGCTCTATAGATGAAATTAATGATTTTTGATATAGTTAGAACATTTATGCCAAAAATCTTTGCGTGTTGATCTTTTTGAAGTTGTAATGCGCCGTGTAAATTAAATAAAGATGTGGTATGCTATGCAGGTTAAAGCCAAAAAAAGACTAAATTAATTAGTACAACGCAAACTATTTTAAACTTTGTCGTTTTCCCACATTTTAAAATTTAATACCTGCTAGAACAACTCTCATAAGAAATTTTCATTCTTCAGTTTCTTCTTATTTATGGGGTGTCAGATACAGCTGGTTTTGTGTGCGTTGTTATAATTCGCTGCTCGAACTTCACTGTTAATCCCTTACTTTTCAGTTAACAATAGTTTTGCATAATTTCCCACATTCCCTTATCGATTTTGAAATCGTATTTTTACAATAAGGTATGTTTTATTGGGATTTTGCGACCATCATTTTGAGTGATCTAGCTGAATCATCGAAAGTGAGATGCGTGGGTAGTTAATTGGAACGATATTTGGAAATAGAACTTCTTGATAAAATGTTCTGATATAAATGTATAACATTAATTCACTCCTGTTTCGTTTTTAGCCAATTATTTCGGATATTTAAACAAAGCGTTAAGAATTCATGTTGCAGTATAGGACTTTATTTGTACAGAAGTCAGGCCGAAAAATACGTTAGAAAATGAAATGGTTGAAGTACGAAGTCTTGGATATTCTGCTATCCCACTGTCGTTCTCTATCTTCAATGGCATAAAGACATTGTGAATTAAGACCAAAATGATGTCGAAATTTTAATGAAAAAAAATGTCAAATCTGCTTGTCGTCAAAATGCTACATCACCTATAAACTTCACCGTTTTTTGACTTTACGTTTTCTGAAGTTCATAAAATCAATTTGTAGTGTTACTTGCTTTACCAGTTATAACTTCGTTTGAAACATACGTTTTTATTCATCGTGGAATGTCACATCGTTTAGGTCAAAACTCTTAATGTAAACAAATTGTTTTTGGCTGTTGGAATTAATTTCATTGCTATTTTATTTATGGCTGATACACAAACTAGTACTGCAGTAATACAGTTGCCAACATCATTCGAGTGGTACCAGGAACAAATTGCTGGTCATCATTCTTCGGTGGTTAGGAATGGCGAGCATGAAATTGGTTCGTCTCTTATTTACGTAGATTGTCATAGAATTATGATGGTTGTACAAAAATTTCGGGATTTCCATAAAAGTAATTTCCGGAATAAATTTTTATTCATCGTGGGATGTCACTTCATTTAGGTAAAACTATGTAAACAAGTTGTTCTTGGAAATTTGCTATTTCATTTATAGCTGACACACAAACTAGTACTGCAGTTGATTTCAACACAAATTCCAATTTCGTTACAGGATTTGCTTTTAGGACTTATAAAAGAGGTTGGTAGTGAGACATTGTTAAAACCCGTACAGGAAGGTGTACGAGGAGTATGTGAGGTTTGTTTATTATAATTCCAATAAGCAATTAAAAATATTACATTTATGGCAGAGCTTATTCCCTGTTTATGATCATTTTGCTACCGTCATAGGTTTCGTTGTTCTGATAACTCTTTGAACCATCTATTTACAAATGAAACTTGATATTTTTCCTGCATTCACAACACAAGAAACAGTCCAGGTTGCATGTATAACGCAACTTTATAACGCAACTTTGTTTGCTTCACTCGAAGCAACAGGTGAACAAACAAACATATATATCGTTTTTCTGAAATATGAAAATCTGTTATTTACCTGTCATGCGTCAAACAAACATTTAGTAAATAAATTAATTTGACTATTTTAACAATTTCAGGTAACATTCTATAACAATTTGAAGTACCGAAACGATGAAAATGATGTTTTAACGAAATTCGCTGTGTTCGTTCCGAAATTCTACGGATTAAAAACTTTACGAGTTGGAGGAAAAGGTGATTAGTTAGTCTGAAAAAATTTTTTTCCGATTTGAGGGAACTAGCAGGTTATGAATTTCTTTTTACATTGTTCGTATATTTTAAACATGAAGTCTCAGGATAAAATGATGCATAAACTTCATTTTCGTAATTTGCAAGGAAAAGGAATGATAAAATACAATTAAGGGGAGCAAGAGTTCAGGGGATGAGGAGAGGGATAGAACGTCGAGAAAGTTTATTCACTTATTAGATATCAACACTAATTTCTTCAGATATATATAGATGTATTCAAAATTTGAGAGTTGGAATTTATCGTTATGGAGGATTTAGCGTGTCGTTATAAGTGTCCGTGCATCATGGATATCAAAATGGGAAGAGTAACCTATGATCCGAATGCAACAAAAGCGAAAAGATTATCTGAAGCGGTGAAGTATCCTGAACAAGAAACACTTGGCTTCCGTTTAACCGGTTATCGGGTATAATCTGCGTTACGGTTTACTTGTCATGAATACAGACATTCCAGTATTTCCTAATAATCTGTTTCTGAACACAAAAAATACAAAAATTTCAAATATTTTATAAATAATTTTATGTTTCATGTGTAGAAATAATAGTGCGAAAAATCAGATAATTAATGGTTGAACAAAGGGGGAGCTTTTGTGTTCGAGTGAGGCATTTTTTTTTTACCTCGCTTGGCGACCTTTTAATTATGTTCTGATCTCTGAGAACACTGTGTGGGAGCTTTACCTCATTGTTTGAGTGGTACAGCTGCTCTTTGTCAGGGAAATATAACAACCTATAATCTGCATTGGCTGGGCAGATTGCATTCAAATTGTCCGCATTATTTTTCACCCGAAAAAAAATCACGAAAATTTGACTGTTGAAAAATTCCACGAGAAATAGGACTTTCGAAATTAATTTCAGTAAAGGAAATTTTCCTGGAATTCCAGACTTCTAGTAATCATTGCTTTTTAAAGAAATCCATGCTTACTCTTATTTTTCTCTTGAGATGCATTTTGGTTGCGACAAAAATGACTTACGAGTTCGTGATAAACAGTGGGGGAAGTCCAGGAATTTGGAAAATATTGTTGACGGTTTGTTCCTTTGTAAACATTCTAGGTTCATTTTTTCCTCGAAAATTAGGAAACAGCAATATAATTTAAGATGCTAAATCTTTTTTTTTGTTGCCAGCCGAAAGAAAATCTTTAACGCTTGAGTTTTACTCGCGATTGCAAATATGGACAAATTTCTTCAAATTTTTAAATTTCTTTAACAATAGTAGCATATTGAGATTGTCGTAATTCTGCAATTACTTTGTTCTGATGAAAAAAATTTTGGGCATAGCGATTGAAAGTTTGCAAATTTAAAAGATGAATGCACAATAATTGGGACGAGATAATGTATGTAAGAGTGGCAGATGCCGGGGAATTTGAACCTATTGAACTTTTTAACTAGTGTCCCATTAAGGAGATTAAATTTAAGTGTGCTTGAGAAAATGAATGCAGGAAAGTTCAGTCTGGCATAGTGTAGTTGCAAATCATTATTCAATAATAGCTTCTGTAGGAGAACTCATTAGAACTCATCCTTTTTCTGTTATTCTCTCCCAGGTAGTCATTGCATAGTTAATCGCGCAATCGATATTTAACATTTGATTCGCTGAATAAGTCTGATTTATTCGATAAGAGAACTGTAAAGATAATCATGTCAATAAATAATGTCTTTCCTATCAAACCAAATCAGCCGGTGATATATTTCGAAGAAATTCGCGGAATTCTAGAAATTTTCATATGTTTATTTTGTTACTGTTTACACATTCTTGTAATCAGTCAACAAATTCATTGTAACACTTATCAAACTGTTCAAAACAGAAGTTTTTTATATTTATTATTCTGGAGATTTTTAAAGAAAATTTATATATAAATCCAATGTGTTCGAAAATTTTCGAGCATATATTATAGATAAATTTTACAGCCTTTCGTGAATTCTTCTCTGGAAGGACCATGGAAAAAAGTTATGTGGCAGTACAGACATTGGAGCAATTATATAAGCTTCGAAAATGGTTCAATTCACAGCGGGTATTTTATTTAATTTCCAAATTTTTATAAGTTTATCCAAAAATAAGTAAATATAACTGGTCAGAATGAAATATCATGGCTCAATGATCTTGACAGAAATTTTCAAATAACAGCTTTCTGGATATGAGTCTTGCTAAACACTCAGAATGTTGCTGTTTTTTTATTTTTTTTGTTCGTTCAGTTGTCATTCAAGAATAAGAGAAATATTTAGCAAAAGATCTAAGAATATAATAAGTTATGACTATTCCAGGTTTATCATTTCTATGCTTCATCCATTTTGCTTGCTTATGAAGCAAGTATGGAACGGCCACCAAACGTTCTTGTTAAACTGATCGATTTCTCTCATGTGTTTCCCGCCAACGGTGCTATAGATGACAATTATTTGTTTGGCTTAAACAGTGTGATTAATGTAATTGAGAAATATCGAAATTCATTTGATTCTGGACCACACAAAATAGTCTCGAATCCCGGAATTAATTAAAAGCCAATTCTTATTTTCGGAATTATGATGGTGAAATTCTACATTCTTATTACTTTTTGTACGGTTCGATGACCTTTAGCCTTTATAAATTTTCATGCTTTTGCTTTGTGTTGCAGCCTAGTTTCTGGATTTACTATTTTCGATACTCATTGAAAACCGACTAGTGGATGAATATTGAAATTAATTGATAACAGAGGGGCCAGAAAACAAAATATTAGAATGCAACGATAAAGATTCTTTGCACAACGAATACGCGTTATCTCCGTCATCCTAATAGAGCATTCCACATTAATGTGAATCATTCTCAGCGAAAAATTAACATGGTTAGCACCAAACTATAATAATACCTTACAAAAATTCATGTGATATGATTTATGAATTAATAACACAACATGAGGAATTTCTAGAAATTTTATGTTTTGCAGTCTGGTTGGGATAAATCCAATCTTTAGCTTAGCATCATGCCGTTTAAGAAAAAAGTTTGTTTTTATTAAGAAAGTCAGCTGGTGTTAATTCAGAATTGATATAAGGTTTGTGTGGAATAGCACAGCGAACAGGAAAGTAGCAAAAGTATCGTGAAGTTTTTGGAAGCAGCCGTCTTGGGTTGACTGGGTGATTCTAATTGATTAGTGAATGGTAAGTCAAAAGATTCTTCCATTTTTCTTCAACGTTCTTCTATTGTTGAGAATTTTTTCTCTTGTTATTGGAAAATTTCTCATTTAAAAAAAAATATTTGAAATCGCATTTTAGTAAAACAGTTATTCAGGTGAGCAATCTAGAAGGCACTTTTTTGTGATAATAAAATTGTCCCAATATTTTTGTCACAGAGTAGACGAATTAAAATGTGGAATGGCTTGGCTAGTTCTTCGTTTCGCTCTCTTGTGGCTTGTTATAGTTGTGAGATGATTATGGATATAGAGTTCAGCCACAAAATGAAAACGTAGCCAAAAAGCTCGAGAGCCAAGTTTATAAGTAAGTATCTGTTGGGCCTAATGTAATTCTTCGGTGATAAAGGAGTTCTCGAAACTATTTTGTGAGATTATAAAATTATAAGTGGCGGCGTAATTGGAAAAAAGAAGTTACCAAGCTTAATTGGAACTCTTGCTTCAATTCTTCCTAGGGCTCTTGATTACTTGAATACTATTTAGCTGCAATGCAGCAAACTTAACTTGAAGATAAAGCTTGCGATCAGTAGTTTTGAGAGTAGCTAAAATTTCTTGCATGCAGTTTTTCTGACATTTTTGAGGGTGTTACTGTAGGTGGGTTTGTGTGGTGCATCGTGAATCGGATGGGTAAATTTGGCCTGCTGGGGGTATTGGATTTGGCTCAAATGCAGATTTGATCGGTTTGGTGTTCAATTTTCGAAGTGCCACAGTTTTGCTAAAATTCAACTTCATTTTCGCTCTGTTCTTGACTTGGTAACATTCCTTTTCTGCGTTCGTTTTTAATTATTACGAAGTTAGCTGTTTCATACCTTTACTTGACTTGTTATTAGCCATTACTTGACTACTCTGTAACTAATAAAAATGGCGACGGCTCCAGAGGTTTCATTCTAGAACCCACAGAAGTGGCAGGAATTGCGGTACCTTATAAGTGATTGGGACAGAATATTCTGTTCCATTTTTTAATGGGAAACAGGGAAGCAAACGTGAAGGAAATGGATAACTCAGACGCAGAGGAATGTAAAAAGGTATCATTTGCAAGCCACTTTGTCTTGTTTTGTAATATGTCAGTTTTGCAGGCTCTGGGAACTTATTGTGATTTTTTCCTTTAATTTTTAAATCTGTCATTTTTTGCTTGATTTTGAGATTCATATTCGTACCATTCCTTTATTCCTACAACATCTCCAATACAGAACACCGCTTTTGGAGATTTAAGCTCGCGTTGAAACACACTCAAATATGGACTTCTCAAAAGACGCTCATATTTTAGCTGTCAAATTTTTTGATTCATTCCACTGACTGATTAGATTTTGATTGGTATTCTGGCTGCTAAGATGGGTATTGTTTCCTCCACTTTCCTAAAGTTCCCTAGACTATTTCTGATTGGATTCAATATCATTATCTCATTATCGCTTTAGCCGCACTACAGTGTAGTTTCCAGAGCACTATGTAGTTTTAACGGACGATTGAAATTTTGTAGTTTTAACGGACGATTGAAATTTCATGGGAGGAGCTATAAACCTTTAATTCAGATGGCAGTTTAAGAATTCAGATTTGGAGTTCTTTGAATGTCATCACATGCCGTCATGTTACAAGCGGCAGTTTTCAGGCACCAAAAACAACTACTGCGAATGCTTCACAAACTTTGATGCCTATCCACACTCACTCCGTTACTCATGATTATAGGATTAGCCGACAGGTATTTTTTTTCGGTATCTTTTGTATCCGAAGACGAAAATATCTGAAATGTTGAGCACTTCCGTGATATTAAACATAGAAATTAGAAAAATCCAGCTGAATTATTAGTAAATTTGCTAATAATTCAGCTTAGAAATTAAGTAAATTAAAGACTATGGGAGGGTTTTCATCATCAATTTCAAATTTGTTAATATGAATTTATCTTTGCGGTGAAAATCTAAAAGTTCCCATCAAACGGAAATGATGATTCGCAGAAAGACTAGGCATAATATTTCAGTATTGAAGTAGTGCGAATTTGCATTGACCATATGGCTCACTTGAATCTTAGTGAAGTGAACTAGTTGCAAATATGACATACATTTGTAATAATTCCCGGCTTTTTTGTTACCTGTGTTTTCTTCCCGAATCATGTTCCGAAAGTGATTGTTATTTTACGCTTCAATCTCTTGCATTCATTTTTAGGTACTGGGTGTGGGAATCAATGGAAAGGTTGTGGAGTGCGAAAGTAGAAAAACGGGCGAAAAGTTTGCTTTAAAAGTTAGTTAACTAATTTCTAGATTTTGTTTGAGTAAAAATGTTGACATTTAGCAAAATCTTCAGGTTTTGCGTGATGTTCCAAAGGCTCGTCGAGAAGTAGAACTTCACTATGCTGCTAATCATCACAAAAACATCGTTCGTATATTAGATGTTTATGAAAATACCTACAATCAAGTGAAATGTTTACTTGTCGTAATGGAATGCATGCAAGGTTCATGTTTTAATTAGAATACAAATTGCAGTTGTTCGATTTTTAGTCAAGTATTGGTATCCTTCAAAATATTATAAATATGTTTGGAATGTGCTTTGTTTATGAAAACTGAAAACTGTTCAGAGACCTAAGAGTTCGGAGACCGAAGACCTACATTTAACATTGTATGAGACCAGTGCTAACTCTAGGTCTTTTCAGATGAATAAAAATGAATTTTTTTTTCAGGAGGTGAACTCTTCACTCGAATACAGCAGAGAGCACAGTCAGCTTTCACCGAGCGTGAGGCTGCGCAAATAATGTCTGAAATCTGTTCAGCAGTTGCACATTTACACTCATTGAATATCGCACACAGAGACATAAAGCCGGAAAATTTACTTTATAGGTATTTTTTAATATTTTTAGCTGATCACAGTCACGGCATTTTCCGTATATTACTTCATTGTTTTCGTGTATTTTAATTTGTTTTTTGTTTCAGCTGTGATGGACCGTCTGGTATTTTGAAACTAACAGATTTTGGTTTTGCAAAACATTTAGATTCTGCAGATACCAGGCCATTAGAAACGCCGTGTTATACGCCCTATTATGCCGCACCAGAGGTAAGTTCCAAATTTTTGATTTATCGAGACTCTGTGGCCTTGGATAAAAGTTTGGTGACGCCAATATTATCGGAATGCAGTGTTTTGTTCGTAAGTATATTCTTTAGCTCATCCACTTTCGTGTGGCAGCTCGTTGAATAGACTGCTGTCGGTCCAAACGGTTAAAGGATTCAAATGATCGTTTACTGAACAACGCTCAAAGAGCACGTGCGTAGTTTTTGCCACACTCTAGAAGTTGTTCTGATCAGACAATGAAAGCTCGAATATGCTTCCCAGTGGAGTTAAAGTTACAATACAATTATTTTTGTTAAATTTATTGAACAGAATGTCAGCACTTGAAAAAGTTGCATTTAAGGTTCTTGGTCCTGAAAAGTATGACAAATCATGCGATATGTGGTCCATAGGCGTTATCATGTATATTCTGTAAGTTTTTTTAAACTGAATTGTTCTGTTAAAATGGTTTATATGTTGCGAGCTCCTTATCAGATTTTTAGTCCATAATTTGCCAATCTTTATAGGTTATGTGGTTTTCCACCATTTTTTTCTGCAAACGGTTTACCTATGTCGCCAGGAATGAAAAATCGGATCAGAACGGGCAAATATGCTTTTCCTTCTCCAGAATGGGATCGAGTTTCCGAAGCAGGTCAATGTTTGCCAAAGCTTATTGTCGTTGGGAATATTTGTTTTAATTTCTTCTTGGGTATCTATGCACTTCAATTTTTATATCAAATGATTAGATGGTCAATAGAAAGCATTTTCAGCAAAAGATTTGATCAGAAAGTTGTTGCGTACTGATCCGAGTGAACGCTTCACAATTGAGCAGACCATGAACCATAAATGGATCATTCATTATCAGAAGGTTCCAGAAACCCCTCTTTTTACTGCTTCAGTGCTTGAGGAAGAGAAATCCCAGTGGGTAGAAATGCAAGTTGGTTTTCATTTTTTTCCATTGCAGGAACCTAATTTTTTTCCAAGTTGTGATAATGTTATGGGCATTCTGATTATTAATATTAATAAAGCAAAAATGAGTCATGTTAATTTCAGTTAGCTGATGAAAATAAATAAATTCAGGATGAAATGGAGATGACCTTAGCAACGATGCGTGTCGGCAACGAAGATATCCACATTAAAAGTTTAAAGGATTCAAATAATCGTTTACTGAACAAACGCCGTAACAAAATAAACAAACGATAAAAAAGAGTAGTCCATAATTATGTGAGTCATGTGTTTCCATCGTTTGCCTTTTTCAAGTGTGCCATCAAAGTAATAATATGAATCCCATATTCTTATTGAACTGGCAAATGTTCCTGTTGTAAGTATAATATATTTATTTCTTTAATATTTTTTTGTAAGGCCGATTTGGAGTCTTTTTTATTTATTGCTGTCTATAAGTAGCTTTTCTTGCGAGGTTGTGAAAAGTGCCTTAAGGAGAAACACCCCTGATATGAAAGAGCAGAAATACATATATAGAAGTTTTATCAGGATTATGCTGTACATGTTGTCATGTCACTAATTGCTTTCCATTATTGTTGTCAATTTTTTTTCTAAATCGTATAGCGAAGTAATTGTTGTTATGTGCTTTTGTAACTTTCTCTTTGTTTTATGATGTTAAAATCAGTGATATGGGCAACTGTTTAAAGCAGAAACGATGGGTCATTTGTTTTTTTTAATTTGCTCAAGTTTTTCTTATCTTATTTGAACGTGTGGGTGTGTTCGGTGACCTACGTATAGTTTAGTGCTTCCTTGATAATCTTTCTAAATGCATCAGTGCATTGTTTAACGATGTTATATCCAATGATGGTATGTTTGGATTATGTGGTGGCAGATAATGGTAAAATAATGTGCAATAGATGTTGATATTTGAATTTAGTGGAAGTTGATAGGGGGATGGATGTTTTGCAGACAGTACATATAATTGTCTTTACCATATACAACTTTACAAACAATGATACATTCTTGTTCTGAAAATTCTATATAGTATATCCCGTAATAAGTCAACACGGACGGGCCTTCACCATTCGAAAAGGTGATAAAGTGTTCAGGGGGAACACGATGGGATGGAAGGGGAGGGAAATATTCCTTTCGGGTATATATATACGTAATTAGGGACTGCAATTATGTATTACGAGCTCCTACAGTAGATCAGTTCCGAGCATGCAGTCGCATCGTCGGCCTGGTCAGTGTGGCGCATGCGGAGCTCTTACCATTCAATTTATGTGGGGGTGGTCCCGCCTCCATTGCATCTATGGAGTTGTGGGACGGAATCCGTTTCACAGCGGTACCAGTGTAATGCCACGATGGCACTGTTTGTCATCCGGGAATCTTGGGCAAACGTTTAGTGTAGGTGGGGGGGGGGTGTGCATGTTCCGCTGTGTATTGTTGGAGAAGTGTTCCATGGTTTCCAGTCAAGAGTTCTTTCAGATGTACCGTGCAGCAGCACCACCAGTCTTCATGCCAGCGGGACAGCCGGTTGGTGATCACAGTGTGAAAGGTGCACAGGTGCCATATCCAGGTGTTCCTTTCATTACATAGTTCTCACTGTAAATTGGGTGAATAACATAGTTAGAATATAACAAAATGAGGCTGTAACATTATACATTGAAACAGAGCCCCACGAATTATTTAGGAAATGTATGTCAAGTGTTGTCGAGAACTCTATTTATGAGTTTCAGGCGCAGTTAATGCAGGACAGAATTATGTAACGTCAGGCAGTGCCGTTTACCAGAATGGGCAGATTCCACAGGTATTTCTTTTATTTGCGAATATTATGAATATCACTCATATTATGACAGACCGCTTTTCTACTTTAGATTCTACAGAGCTATTTTAAAATTTCAAATTTGACATGACCTTTGCAGACCATGACATTGCAAAGTGGAACAGTTTGTGGACAAATTGCTGGGCAGCAGGCGTTTCCATCTCAGTTTACGTCAACCGTGGGTTCGCATTGCAGAATTATGCATATAACTCTTACTGTTGCGTGCTTGGGTCGAAAGTAAAAATGCCGCCAAGATTTTTTCCAGTTTTTAAATTTTTAAGCATTTGCAGAAATGAACAATGGTAGGACACCGGTTATGACTATGAATGGTGGAACTCATCTCTTCCCTAACCCACCCAATAATTTCTTGAATGATATACGGCAGAATAGTGATATCCTGTCTAATATTTCTCCTACAGGTTTGTTTTTCGGAGCTGTTTTTCTCGAATGCAATTCTTTTGCTTTATTTAATAGGATTTTTGAATAACCTAAAGAAAAATTCATTTCAGATTCGCAGCTAATATCTCCCAAAGTTCCTATACCTTCTATCATGACTGCAACTTTGATGCCTGCATCAGTCGGAGTCGCACCGTCAACACAAACTTTCAGTGGGAATATATCTACAATATCTAGTACAGGGACATTTCCACATATGCTTCCGTCATCGCACCCGCTTCCACAAGTGACACCTAGTACAGAAATTATGCCACCAATGCCACCGATAGGGATCATATCATCGCCAAATCCATCCATTACTCAACGGTATTTTGGCACTTCCACGCATAATACTGCACCGGGAATTGGAGGTGAAGCTGCATCAAAACATCCAAGATTTGGTGGTCCAACAGGACTAGGTAGTTCTCCAAAATCTGCTGCTAACAGTGGTCCACAGATGCCTATCCCCCCACAAATGCCTGGGGCGTACAATAGCCCTCCTTCTGGATCTCTGGGACTCCCATCAGTGCCTGGCGCACTACCCGTTAATTATGGTACCAGCGGTACTGGAATGGCTGGACCATCAATGCATGGAGAAATAATAGGATCACCTGCTGCGGGACTGTACCAGCAGAAACCTCGTTTGGATCCTAATCTGATGCCAAGTGTGGTATGTTCATAAAATTTCATTTTCATAAGGTTAGAGAATTTCTTGAAGAAAGTCAAGAGATTTTCGAAATTGCACAAACTGCTGTATATATAGAGGAACCTTCATTTTTTCGTCGAACTTTTCGAAGTATTTTGAAATTTAGGTTCAAGTAATCGAAGAAGATCGCTCAACAAAGAGTGGAACATTTCCAACCGGTTATCCTACAGCTGAGCATCCACCATTGACATCAACTGAGTTTATTGCTCAGGATCAGGGTATGGAACTAGGATTTGAAAATTCTTTTTTAAAGCAGACCAGTCAAGAGTTGGAAAATTCTTTTGCTGGTATCCCTTCAACAAGTGATTAAGAGTTTTACAATTGGAGAATTCTCGGAAGTCCTTTTTTGGAAAAAAAAGCTTGAATTCGTTATCTATTATGTTCTATTTGATAATTCATTATCTTTTAAGTAAGAAAGAGGTGAACTCATGGTTTTTAAACGCATTTAATATCTTTCGAAAATTTAAGGATTCTTCACTTTACCAGTTTTCAGGTATATGTAGTCCGAAATTTATGCGATCTACACTCTATGTCGCGCCGGCATCGTCTGATATGTTAAAAAATTCACAAATACCATTTGCAGTCGCTGTCACTCCATTTGCACGTTTGCTTTCAAATGAGGTGTTTTATTATATTATTAAGTTTGGCATTTGAGCAGTTGATACTATGTCATATGGTTGCATTTGTAGTTTGATCTCATCCAGTCCTGATTGCTGCCATGACCTTTAAAAAACACGACTTTTCAACACAACCATTTGATCTTTAGCGAAATACTTTCGTAATCTTAACTGGTGGTTTATTTTGAACCACTTGACTTACTGTTCAGTTAACCGAGCACTGAACGATATTCTTCTTAACATCTTAAGTTTTTTTTCAATTATTTTGTTATATTTAATATGTCTCTTAAAACTTCTTGCAGATGCGACCTCCCATCGTGGATCTAGGAGAATTAGGTCCGATAAGATGTCATCGCTGTAAAGCTTACATGTGTCCATTCATGGAATTTCAAGACGGTGGCCGTCGCTTCAAGTGCCCGTTTTGCTTTGCATCCACAGCTGGTATGTGTGAACTCATAATCACATTTCCCTTCAAAAATCATTGGGCTTGCCAGTAAACTTATTTATTGCTTATAGTGGATGATTCGTATTTTGCCCACTTGGACCACACTGGACGTCGCACTGATATTCAACACCGTCCTGAACAATATCTTGGGTCTTATGAGCTTGTTGCAACAAAACCGTATTGCAAGGTCTGTTTTTTCTATTTTCACATTTCAAAGTTGGTGAAACATTGAACTTTTAAAGCTATTTGTGTTTCCAAAATCATTTCCAGAATGGTTTGAAACCAAAAGAACCTGCATTCATTTTTATGCTGGATGTGTCGTATTCTGCAGTGCAGTGTGGCCTTGTATCAGTATTTTGTAGAAATATTCGAAATTTGTTGAACAATTTGCCCAAGTTCGTTTCGTTCATGTAAAATATGAGCTTTTTCGTGGGAATAGGGATAAACTTTTATAAGTTTTTACTTCTTAATGCAAATGAAAATCAAAAGTTCACTCATATGAGCTGAAAATTCTTGTTTTTAACCATCATAAGATAATGTTGCAGAGAAGTGGGTCAGGTGAAATCGTCTTTGCGCATTGGATTTGCAACATACGATCAGACTATTCATTTCTATAATCTGAAAAGCCATATAGGTCAACCTGAAATGTTGGTCGTTGGAGACGTGAATGATGTTTTTGTTCCACTGGTTGACGGGTTTTTGGTAACGTTGGAAGAGGCCGATGTTGTTCTGAATAGGTAAAACATCAAATCGTTTATTCATATAAGTATAACTCTCAGTGATTTTCCACTCGAATCGGCTTCCCCATGTTCACGATCGCAACTGCAAAACCATAGTTTGGTCTACGGAAAGGTTCAAATGCTAGATTGCGGGAACATAGCTATCAAATTTAAAAAAGTTTCTTATGTCTTATCTAAAATGTGCGAAAACATATTTTACCTTGCTTCTGCCAACTTCAAGCTGTCATCATTCTTATACCACGGCAGTTCCCTCTTTGTATTTTAAGAGGGAATAAAACATATCATGTTATGATGACAATCAACGGAGTTGTAGATAATTTTACGTAAAATGAGAAATCAACGCTGAAATTTTGCTCGTTTCATTGCAGTTGTTCATTTATATTTTTTGAGCTTGTTGTGTGAAATTGAGAAGATCTTCGGTGACACACGAATTACTGAAACAATGCTTGGTCCTGTTATCCAGGCTGGTCTGGATGCATTAAAAGTACGCATAATGTTTTCTATTGATTTGAATTTCGCTATAACGAATAGTTTTAACAAACACAGTCGTAATATTCATGCGGCTTCATAGCAAGCAGAATTTCAGTGCGCTGATAGAGCAGGCAAATTGTTCATATTCCATACTAATTTGCCGTTGTTGGATGCACCTGGGAAGTTGAAAAATCGTGACGATCGAAAACTGCTTGGAACAGATAAAGAAAAGGTTAATTTAGTTAAACTAGTAATTTGTTTGGCCTTGTTGTTTGGGATTTTGCAGTGTTGATAATTTAGTTGCTTGAGCGCAATTTTCTTAATTTTGATTTATATATTGCTTGCCTTTGTAGTGGACTATATTACTATAGCTGCACATACGATAGGTTTTCCATTTTCATTCATTAAACAACATTTGTTTCAGACTGTTTTACAACCGCACATCGATTTTTACAGTAAATTGGGCGAAGAATGTGTGAAAGCAGGTTGTGCAGTAGATTTATTCTTGTTCCCAAATTCCTTCGTGGACGTTGCATCACTTTCACCTGTTTGCTCTCTAACGGGTGGTTCCATATACAAATATCAATACTTTGAAGTATGTTGTAATCAGTTCATAATTATTTATCAGGTGTGATGTACCAATATACTATTCTTTTATTGCTAAAAGTAAATTTACTGGTTAATTGCTTCATGAAGTATTATTTTATTTTAGACTCAAAAAGATAGCGAACGTTTCTTGGCAGATCTCTCCCACGACATAAGTCGTGAAATTGTGTTTGATGTTATGATAAGAGTACGTACATCCACTGGTAAGTATAAGCCTCAGTTTTTGATTGTTTATTGGCTTTCTGAAGATAATTACAAAGTTATAAAGCAGTTCTTTTTCATCCGAAAATAATAGTTGACAGTTTTATATACTAACCGTTACTTTCAGGTTTGCGGCCAACTGGTTTCTTCGGTTCCTTCTTTATGGATAATAGCACGGACCTGGAAATGGGTGTCATTGATTGTGATAAAGTGAATTTTTATTTTAATGGAGTTTATGAAGATGTGTTTACTTGCCATACGAAGCTGTGTTTACTTGCAGGCAGTTCATGTAGAAATTCGACATGACGATAAATTGCCAGAAGGAAGCGCCCACTTGCAAACGGCTGTACTGTTTACATCATGCAGTGGACAGAGAAGACTTCGTATCCACAATCTGGCTTTGGCTGTTTCATCGGATTATAACCAGCTTTATCGTGTTGCGGATTTGGACTGTTTAACGTCTTTCCTCTTCAAGCAGGGTAAAAGACACCTCTGTCCTTTATTTCAAACGCATTTGCAGTTTCATTGTTTTATTATTCACTTTTTTCAGCGGAATACCTTTTGCGAGACAAATCTCCCAAGGAAATGCGAGAAGCTGTGAATGCACGTTGCGCGCAAATGCTGGCAACATATCGTGAGAAGTGTAGTGAGCAAGCGCCGCTTGGGCAACTTATTTTACCAGAATGTTTGAAACTATTGCCGTTATTCGCGAATTGCATAATAAAGAATGATGCACTTAGCGGGGGTCAGTTTCCAGTTACATAGTTCCACGGTGCATTGGTTTCCATCATTATCCAAGCAATTTAAATATTTTTTCTTTTTTAAAATAAAAGCCAGTTTGATTATCATTTAAAAAGGAGCCAATAAAATCTTTTTCAGGTAACGACATGACTGTGGATGATAGAGCTTATCTGATGCATCTTACACCATCCTTGAAAACAGAAGATGCATTAACTTTGCTATATCCTACAGTGTTTCCGATTTCCGACCTGATTTTTGAACAGTGGGCAGCTGAGGTATTGAGTTTACAAGCTTTTTTTAAAGTTCATTGCTTTATATTATTAATAGTGATTTTCAGATAACATTACCGGTTTGCATACGCGCTTCTTACGATAACTTGTCACCAGAAAAAGCATATATAATTTTTAATGGTATCATGATGTTTTTATGGATCGGTTTAAAGGTACCACAGGATTGGGTGCAAGATGTCTTTAATTCCAACTCAGTTACCCATCTCAACGTGGAGAATGTTTGTCTTTGAAATGGTTCATTTGAAAATTTAAATATTCTAGAACTATTTCATCTGTTTTATTCGTTTAAACTTCATTAAATAAATGTGTTTTAGCATATCGTGCCGGAGCGTGATAATGCACGGTCACGTGCCGTACGTTACGTTATTGATCGGGTGAACATGAATAGCTTACGACATATGAAACTGTTCATAATCCGACAGCAGGATGCGTTAGAAGCCTGGATGAAGAAATTTCTGGTTGAAGATCGTACACTGAATATGCTCTCATATGTGGACTATTTGTGTAACATTCATCGTGAAATTAGAAGTTTGCTGAATTGAAAGGGGCATTTTCATATTTTTCATTTCCATATTTTGTTACTGCTATCATTTTATTCGGGGAAATGGTTTATCAGTTGTTGATATTGAAATGTATAATGTGATTTATGAATTGTGACAAACGCCATATCTTCACACTAATCCCACCACGTAAAGCATCTTTCTATTTCTGTTTAACGGGATCTCTTTATTGAAACTAAATTACATAGTTTCTCTTTTGCTAGTTTATACTGTTTATCAATTTACTATTTTGTGAACCAGTATATCTAAACTTCAGAATGACATTTTCTGAATTTTGTTTTTAAAATTTATTGCACAGAATGATAGGATATACATGATGCTTTCTACCAGTATTGTAATATTGACTGTGAGCAATGACTGTAATGGTAATTATTTTCAAATTATGATTGTAATGATAGTTATGAAGAATGATGCGGTGCATAATAAGGCACTCTTTGGCACCGCACTTAGACTGTGCTATGTTATCCGCACTTTTTGTTTTGTTTTCATTTTTTTCGATTGAAATTCATGTTTACATCGTGCTTCCATTTCGTTGTGATTGTATTGAAAAGCCTTATTTATATTTATATTCATTTTTTTCTTTAAAGCTATTGTTTTTCTAATAAAATTTTTACTTCGAGTTGTACCACTTAGTTTCCTACATTTATTTGTATGGTACGCCTAAAGTGGCCAATTTGTTTATATAAAATTAAATTAGGTATCATTATCCAAGAAAGATTAAGAAAAAAATTAAGAAAAACGAGGAAGCCAATCCGACACTTAAATTGTATGAGTGAGGGGAGAGTTGACAATTCTTTAAAGTGAACGGTGCGGTTGGGTATTTATTGCTTGTTGGTGGTATTGAGTGGTTTATCAGCACAACAGCAACAGTTCGGATTTTCGCGTCGTGTGTAGAAATGGAATTGTAAAAAACGGGGTCGTGAATTAGTGTTGTTATTCCGTGGAAGAGGAGCGATTTACCTTTGGGATTGAACTTTGTGGTGCGGAACGCTGTTGGAAAGCTTATCATATATCATATAGATTGCGCTTTTTTCTATTCCATTCCGGTCCAGTCTCTCGAGACTATCAAGTTTTAGGCAATGGATGTTGTGAGAGAATTTTTCAGGTGTGACTTTTCCGGTGATTCGTAATTTTATCTATTACAGGTTAGAGGTTTATACTTATAATTCTGGAATGACCAGAGACACAGACTAGTGGAAAAAGGAGAAGTTTCTAATCAAGAGGGTAAACGGAATTGTTTTTCATTGTGACGTTACAGGTCCGCTACATAAATTTTATTCTTTTGTTTATTGTAAATTAACGTAATGCAAACGTATAGGTATGACTGTAAAGTGATTTACTGGTAGTGAGGAACAGGAAGAGCGAAGGAGGGGAGAGCGAGAGGAATTGGTGAGGACTGAGATAGGCATCAACGAGCTGCAAGAGAAAAATGATGTATGCGAACGAAAATGAAGCGTGCTGTAACGATGGATATGGGCATAAACTTTGGTTTTCGGGATATTTGAAATGCGTCAATGTTTGAAAAAAAAAATTTGAAATGTATCCTTTTTTCGGGGATAGAAAACCCTTTTGCAATTCTAATGTGTATTACAATTCCAAATTTACAAAATGCCCATTCATTCAACGTAATCTTTGCTTTTTATAAGAAAAGAATGGGTGCTTTCTTCACTGCATTAACACCGGTAGTCCTACCTCTCTTATCGATTCTTTTATATTGTTTGCCAACAATAGGAAGTTCTTTTAAACGAGACTGAATTACACTGCTTCTTAGATTGTGTTTTTTTGTGAGCTTAGTTGTTAATAACCGGCGTGCTGCCGCAGCAAAATCTGGGCATATCAGCGCGGTTGTCGGAGTGTTAACGATTGGGCGAATTTCCACAAGTTTCACAACAATGTTTTTAGTTAAATCCATATTGTCCTGAAGTTAATCATGTAAATTTAGCAGAATTTTTGAAAGGCAGCAAAATAAATTCTCATCATTAACAAAACAAAACATTTTAAGCTGCGTTCGGAGAGTTTTGTGGAATGACTAGTTTTCTCAAATTTTAACATTTGTTTTCTCGTTTTGATGCACTCCCTCATACAACAGTACATTATTGGAATCTTCATTGTAAGAAGCTGTAGAAATCTTATTCACTAAGATGTTCGTACGTACGAATTTTGTTATCAATTTTATTCATTAGTACCGGTCCAACATTTCAGATTCCCGTGACTCGGCAAGCTATGATAGTACCGGGTTCAGGGACAGCAATCAATAATATCCGTAAGATGTCGCTAACTAAAAACAAAACCACGCTCCACAACTTCGAACATTTCGTCAAAGGTAAGCTTCTATGATCTTTGACTGCTTCTCATACAATTACTTCTTTGTTTCAATTTCCAGCAGAGATAAGAAGTTGGACACTCCTCTTCCCAAAAAAGAATCTTATGCTACTTAAGACTTAAAACTTCACCATTTCTTTTCTTATCTACTAATTGGAGAATTAAATGCTTGGAGTACGATTCACTTATTTAAACTCGATCAAGTTTTTCTCTGAGCTAGTTCGTTCATGTTTAATTTGACACTGAGTCAAGATGGTTGAACTTCGTAAAGAACACCAGAACACTTACTTTTTATTTTATATTAGAAATCCTTTTGTTAGTTGTTAGTGTTCACTGAAATTATGATAGCATCTGCTGATGAATGCAGATATGAATTAAACTTGGTCGTGGAAAAAATTCTGATCTATAAATGAAAAATGGAAAAGAATAAGGAAGAAATGTGAAATACAAAATGCAATGGAAGAAGAATCTAAAGGAACGTTTAACGGCTTATTAAAATATTCGAACAATCTAATTTAGCTATAAACCTCTTTCGTAGTCGTTAGAGGATCGTTGGAAGATTATTCAATTATTTTTTTCCCTTTAAATTTACGTTTGAATTCTGCTGAATAATTGCTCAACCTTTTGGAGGCAATAAGCATAAGCATTTAGGCCCGTTGGCATAAAAAGTCCAGGAACTAATGGCAGTACTAAATTTTTATGTTCAGCAGTTACTTAGGGCTGGCATTTGGTTCCTTTTCGCTCCCACCATCTCTCACAATATAAGAAAAAAATTAGAGAGAAAGTACGAGAAGAGAAAGACAGACAAGAAGAGGAGCAGAGACTGGTGAATAAAAGACAGGAAGGGGAAGGATTATGATTACAATTTATATGCATTATTCGTACGATGTGGTTACATGTTTCGGGCCGGAGTTTTGAGTTATCTCTGTTCTATTCTCATTGCTTTAAGAGTCATTGGGTATTCATTTGATCCACTTCCGAACTGCATCTCTCATTCTGAACGTTTATGTTGTTATTGTTAGTATCGTTAACAAAATTACAAACTTGTTAGTAAAAAACTTTTTTTCACTGATCGCATTTGCGTGTATATGATATGTCATGCGTGATTATATGTGCTTCTATGTGTACGTGTTTTGCATATACCTGCCTATATTTCCTCGCCTGTCTGTGATATATTCTTGAGGAGTGTATGTATTTCTGTGTGTGTGTACTGTTTGTGGATGCGCGAAGTGCTACGAATTTCTCTGCAACATAGTATTTAAATAGACTTTGTAAGTGGAACTCATGATGCAAGTAGCTGAATTATTTCCAGTGTCTTCCTTAGCTGATAAACATTTGGCAGTATTCATTGGGATTACTTAAACCATTTTGTTCCGGAACTATACAACCGTTTTATTTCGCATTTTGATAAGGTAGGTATAGCCTTTTCTTTCACAGTAACACCTTATTTACTGCTGTTATGACAACCTAGCTTGTTATGCTGTTGGTAGTAATTTGCTGATCTTGGCATTATTGCTCTGACGCTTCCATTCATGCTACGAAACAATTGCGTGCTTCACCACGCAATTGTTTGAGTAGCTGCATTTCTGTTCAATTAGACCATTATTACCATTAATAATAATAATATTAATATAATTGCAGTTGTAATAGTAGCAGAAATTTTAGCAGTGAAGTTTAAGAAGCGGGAATGTCGTGAAGTCATTAGAATCTTCAGTAAAAAGATGTTTCTCTTATTGTATTCTTTTAACATTTTGCTGCTAATGTTTATTTTGTTGGAAATCAGTTTTCTTAGCAGAAAATTCTTTTTTTTGCGTTATCCAAGACACGTCCATTTCTGCAGCTCTTTGATGACAGTAATGTTACTGTTTTCAGTGCTGTTCTGATCCGTGATATCTACGGAAACATCTTTTCGTAGCTCTGGAATTGCTTGTTTTATTGTCATTGTATTAAGAGTGCAACTGAATAACTCTTGTCTGTATTTGTACCATCGTTGCGTTGCCATTATTACTTTTTTTTCTGTGTTTATGAGGGAGATATTTTATATGCTATCATGATCTGAGCATATAAACAATACGGTTATGAAATGGATGCGGGATTGGATTAGTTAGGAAACTTCATTTGATATAAAACGCATCTTAGCCATAGTGGCGATGGGTCTAAAGAAATCAGCTTTGCACAAAGCGCAGCCCGATTGTATTGGTTAGTTGGTGTGCAACAGAAATTTCTGTTTGTGGAAGAATGAACAGACGATCGTTTTGCTGCTAAATTTCCATGTTGTTGCTTACAGTTTATTTGGATTTTCCCAAGATTTGCTATATTTTCCTTCCCTTCTGGATATACGCATTTTGAATTGTCATCACTATAACTTTCTGCTATTGCTGGTAGTATTTTGTATTGTTCCTACATAAATTTCGAGAAATTCAATGGTTCGAGCAGTACTGTGTGCAGCCAATAGTCGTACAGTTGAGCAGATTATTGATATGAGCAGTAAGTCGTTAATCTGACTACCGTTCCTTTCGCTATAATCCTATTCGTTTTCAAATTTAATTGCATCTGGTTACGCCGCACTACTATTTTTTAAGAAATTGTTGCTAGTTCTTTTTCTCTGTCCGGATCAAAAAAACCATGCTTATTACCATAAGTAATTCTCCATAAAATTTTAAACCATAAGAACAAACTTCCTTATTTGGAGATTATTACATTTAATAAGATCATCTTAACACATAAGCGAAGTTTTTATGTATCATAATTGCCTTCAAACATGTAATATGAAAGGTTGATTAGATGAGATTTCAAGAAAATTGAAAGATTGGAACAGCTATTCTGGTATTGGTTCTGTGCGGAGTACGAGCAGTAATTTAATAGATGATTTAAGCATTTAAAGACATAAATATTCGATTTTAGATGAGTTTTTCTGTCACTTCAACTTTGCTGCTATTTTAGGAGCTTTTATAATGAACACTCAACTGCAATAAAATAGTGTTGTACTGAAACTCTAGTCGTTAAATTTCTTGCACCTTTCGTTATGGCGAGACAGGAATTCTTGAGCAAAAAACTGGATATTTGTTATGAGTTTGTGTGAAATGCAGTTGAAGACGTAGGCTCCACCTTTTATATCGTTTTTAACCTCTCACTCAGTTGTCGTTTGAACTTTCAGAAATTCGCTCCCAGTTAAATGAGCAATTACGTTGCTTGGAAACTAGGACAGAAGCACAGGTAAGCCATATTATCTTAGTTTTCTGCATTATTTCAATATTTTTTTAGGTGCTGCAATAATGTTTTATTCTTTTTGAAAATTTGACTTCGTAATAAGCCGTCATGAATGGAATTCATCCTTGATTAATGAAACAGGGGAAAAGGGACTCTCATTCAGACATTTCTAAAATTTTCGTGAGAAATGTTTATTGCAGACTGCTATTTTATTGGAATTAAATGATTACTATCGAAAGAAGGCAGAGCTTGACGGTGAGTATGGGAAGCAGCTCGAAAAACTTGCAAAAAATATTATGCAGAAGCATAAAAATGAGCGATATAAGTAAGTTTTATTTATTTATGCACATTACTAGAGTTTCATAAAAGAGTTGTATTCTGAAAAATATATTGAGGAATATGGCAGTATGCGTAGGTGACAATATGCACCTTTCGGTTGGCTTGGCTTAGTTTTTATTTATAGTTCCTCTTTTTTAGTTTTATTTATAGTTCCTCTTTTTTTTTAGTTCTTTTTTAAAATATGGTTGCTATTACACTACTTCCTCTTTTTTTATATGGTTGCTATTACACCTGGAGTGCATATTCTACTCCGCTCTATATGCTTTGCGTAAATCGAAATTTGACTAGCATTATTGAAACTTGTTCTTTCACTTCCACAGAGATTTTCAGACGTGATTCTTGGACTTTACATTCAACCTGCGGGTTATGGCAGCAATTGGTGGATCAAACGAAGGAGGAAGCTAAACACAAGATTGCTTTGGCTGATTTATATGCTGCCCGTCTTACAGTACTTATTGCTCAGAGGGCAGATGATTTACAGCGTATTTCACGAAAAGTAAGACTTTCTCCCGCTCGAAAATTATTTGCGTGAATGTGCAAAAAATCTAATTACTACATGCAGAATTATCAAGTACACAACTGAATGCCTATTTTCAAAAGTTTTTGATGTCAAATGTCAACTTTTATAATTTGTTGTGAAAGAACACATTAGCGTCTTTCTTTGGGAGTAAACAAGAGATGAACAAGCATAGATTCATGGAATGCAATACATCGATACATACAAGCAGAAGAAGTGCTGAATAAAAATTGAGGTGATAGAGCAATACATTCATCCTATTCATCAAACTGCTGAAAATAAGTCAGTTTGATAGGATGAATTACACTGAGTCCACTATTTTTCAGCGGTCGTGTATTACTGTGCATTTTGTTCGGGCTTTCTTTTTCATAGAGTTTAATAGCATTTCATACTTCCACATTTCGTCACAATACTTCATCATCTCCGTGTCATCTGCATAATTGAACGGGATTCATTCCTCCTTTCAGTGACGATATGTTCCATGATCCTTTGCTATAGGTATCTTTTGATTTTTCCGACATGTTCTGAGCACACCAAACAAGTTATTCTGCATATCGTATTTTACATTAACTTTTCTATATTTGCAATAGGCTCGAGATTTTTATCTTCATAAGAATTTGTGGAAGGTGTACTAAGTCCTTTTACTTCTCACATTTCTCTATTATAAATTTCATCATGCCTGAAGAATGCCGTGACTTTGTATTTTGCACGTTATTAACGAAAATTTATCGTTGTATCATTCATTTGCTTTCGAGATTAAATCATTTAAACTCATTTCTGTCTCATTTTGACACTAGGAAGAAAGGCCATCTCGCTTTGATGTTTTGCACGAAGATTTTTAATTGTTATGGGTGATTTTCCAAAAATATGATCCAAGACTTTTCTCATGAGTACGAGGAATTATATATTTCTCATAACTTATAATCTCAGTAATATGATTCAGAATAACCTAAGCCATCTTTTGCCATTAGAAATCAGTGTTGCAGTGTCGCGAAATAGGAGCACTCGCTCACGGTGAAATATGTCGAGTGCTAAACGAACTACACACTGCCATGAGAACCTATCAGGTATGTTACTATTTTGAGATGATTTCGAATTATATGTGTCAATAACTATAAACAGCGTTATCTCAATTTTAAGATGTCTCACTTCTAAAATCTCATCAGCAGTACATTGGCTACAGAATTGTGCATACTGTGTATTTCGAGTTATACACATTCCGGTTTTCAGTTGTGATTATTTATATGAGTTTTCTTATTAGAAATATTTTTGCAGCTTTGCTTCTTCGAATGTTCAGCTGTAGAAAGCAAATTTCGCCAAGTTGAAGAAAATAAGGCGAAGTATGAGGAGAATAATCCAACTAAGCTGGGTGTTACTCGTAAGCACCGATGTTTGGCAAAACTTTATAATAAGGTAAAATTTAAAAAATTATTATTGATAAGGATTTATAAGTTGCAAAGACTCGATTTGCTACCCTTGTTTTCTGAAATTTGTTTTCAGAGGCTGGATAAATACAACACGGTAAAACTGAAATGTTTAAAGGCTAGAAATGAATATCTGTTATGTGTGCAGGCAGCTAATGCATCTTTGCATAAGTATTTTGCTGACGACCTTTCTGATCTCATCGATGTACGTTTTGCATCAGTTTAATGAAAATTATTAGTAATCCAAAAATTAATTGATAGTAGGTATATTGTTTTATTTCGTTTCAATTGAGGGGGCTTGCTTGTATATTGTGACTTGGTAAAAAATTCAGTGCATGGATCTTGGTATGGATCGGTGGTTACAAGGTTTTATTAATTGTACAGTCACGGCGCGGAAAGATATATGTCAAAAAGAAATGGATGCTTTAGCAGAGCTTTGTGGATTTAAGGAATCACTCGATTCGAAGACGGATAAGCAACGATTTATTGAGGCAAACCATGCGACATTTATGTTGCCAAAGCGATTCGAATTCAGGTCATCATTTATCATGGATTTTTAAATTTCCAAATTCTATAAAGTAATTGTCAACATCTCTTAAGTCTATGTCGCCTAAACAAAGTTTTAGATTTTTGGATCATCTCGAAAAATATTCGTAATTTCATTTCAAATCAAGTCACTTATTTCATATTGGGATATCCTTTTTTATATACTTCCAAAGCAAAGATTTTCAGAGCACAGCTTGGTGATACAGTATCTACCGTAAGTGCAACCGATGTCGTTGCTGAAGAACTACAACAGCGGCATTTGCAGATCGAACGGAGGCTTGCTAATGTGAGGTATTTAGTTTTTTGAATTGATATTCGCTTCGTGCTTACCATTTTGAATTCAAAGAGATGTTACTTGGAAGTTTGCTTATGTTTTGATTATGATAATGGTTTGCGGTTCTTCACTAACATTTCGTTTTAGTTTAGTTCTAGTCCCATATTCTAGCTTTTTTTACGGCAGAAGTCGAGTAGTGAAAACTTCATTTTTTGTGCCGAATGATTTTCAAGGATTGAATCGGAAGAAATATGGAAGACTTTGGAATCCACAGAAAAGGCGGTTGCTGAACGTTTTATGGAGGCAATGACTAATTCGGTTGCAGCAGCTGAAGTACCAAGTGATGTATCGCGTGAGGATTGTAATGACGCAAATATTTACAACTTTAAGGATAGAATAAATGCTAACGAATTATATGACTTTTATCTTGGGGTTAGTCCAGTTGTTTTTTTTTTTTTTGATTTTAACTTGAGGTTCTAATTTTCATTACTTTTTTAGCGTTGTATATAACGTCGAATAATTTCTTTTGGTAAGATCTAGCTTTGATGATTTTTTTTTCAGAAATTCAGTCATTATATGTTGAATAGTAACTTAATTGAACGACTGGAAGCGCGAGCAAATGGAATCGCTTTAGCTTTGAACGGGTATTCTAGCAAAAGTTTTGATGGTAGCACTAGCTCTGCTGTTGTTCCTTCCCCTAATTCTTTCTATCGTATGTTTTTGAAATTTCTGTGTCTTCTTGCATCCATTTTTAAATAAAAAAGCACTTATGCTTAGATTTAGAGTATTTTTCGTACTATTTGTTTCATCTTTAAGATGATCTTGTTGATTCTAAGCTGAGAGAATAATATATTTTCAGAAGATGGAGATGACAGTGAAATCTTTCCTTCTGCTCGTAGTCGTGCAAAAAAAAGAATCGGCAGTGGTTTGCTATCCGACGGTATTAGGCGACCGAAGCTTTTTGGCGGTAGTTTGGATGAGTACGTTGAAGCCACAGGCGAAACAATACCTCTTATTATCATTTCTACTATACGGTTGGTAACATTGGATTGTGAGGGTATAATGTTCTGATTATTCATGTGTCTGCTATCTGAATATATTTAAATGTTTTCCTCTTCTGCAATGAGAAAAATTTGATAGTTTTTTTGCAGCGTATTATCCCAGTTTGCTCTGCATCATCAAGGAATATTCCGTATATCAGGGTCACAAATTGAAATTAATACATTTCGAGAAGCGTTTGAGAAAGGTAACAACAGATTCAGTAATGTTTTGACTATGATTTAGATTCTAAGTTGAAATTCTTTCTTCCTCACTCTCATGTCCTCGGGCCATGTAAAAATTAGAAACACGTTGGTGCTACTGTTATAGGTGAAGATCCATTGCGACATGTTGTTGATGCTACGGATGTCAATTCAATTGCGGGTGTTTTGAAACTTTATTTACGTGAACTTCGTGAATCTCTTTTTCCTATGTTTCTTTTTGATCAGTTAACTGAATGTGCGAAATGTTCAAATGCTGATGAATTCGTCAAGCAGGTTTAAAAATTTTCACTTTATGAACGTATTGTTCAAAAAAGTTGAGTGTTTTTGCTTTTGTTCAAAGCTTAACTTTAAACCTTATTCTTTATATTTTAAAATTAATTCACTTTTTCATTTTCTAACGATATTATTCCATATGATATTACATTTTCAGCAAAATTTTCATTTGCTTCAGGTTGCTCCACTTATTCAGAAATTATCACAACCCACTCAGCTCGTATTGCGATATCTTTTCGCATTCCTCAATCATCTCAGTGAATTTAGCGATGAAAATATGATGGATCCATACAATCTTGCCATCTGCTTCGGACCTACACTTCTCCCCATTCCGGAAGGAAAAGATCAGGTTCTAAAAAATTGCATTTTCGTCACAAACTATTAAATTTCCTTCGCAAGAGCTGATTTCTATTTCTGATCGTGGCGTATAACGGAAAAAAATCAGTGCAACTATAAGACACGGTAAGTCATTCAGGAGCTCCAACCTGCACCCAGTGACAGCTCATTTCGCAATTGGAATTTAAATTTAATAGCATCGAAAGAAAAAAAGCCAAGTTTTCACCCTCCATTTTTGACCGGTTTCTGCAACAGGTTGACTTCTTTCCAAATGGGAACCAAGAACAGAACTCACGTTCCTTTCCTTTCGTACCGATAAATGGATTCGTCGTTCATCATCTATGATGTCGTCCGACTCCTCTCCCAAGAGACATTATTCTTATTTGACGAAAATGTGGGTATTCGACGTGACCTGGCGTGTATGATCTCTGCATGGATTTGAATCCTGCTTGGTGATCTCTGTGGTATTTGTTATTACCTAAAGAAATTTTTAAATCTGGAAATATGAACTTTGCTTTGAAGTATCTCTTCTGAAAAGTTGGCGATATTTCAGGTCTTTTACCACAATTTTGTAAACGAGCTTGTGAAAAACTTGATTGTTTATCATGAGCAAATTTTTCCTACAGTGTTACATGGTCCGCGGTATCAGAAGTATCTTATTGAATCCGAGCAAGCACTTTTCATTGATGAGCAGTAAGCAGTTGCTTTGCTATTCATTCAGACTCAAAATTTAATGACAATTTTAGTTTTCAGTTTAAAGGAAGATCAAATGCATTACACCGTTTTGTTCGGTGCTTATAAATCAAACTTTGATATTGTATTTATTTTTTGAAGTTTTTTTAGAGAAAGTGCCATCAGTGGTGATGACGAAACAGTAACGACCCCGGTTTTTGATTATTCAAGCGAGAAATCATTGATTGGACTTCAAGCATCTGTGATTGCTCCGTCTTGGAATGCCGCAGATGCTGCTACGGAAGTGCTCTCGGCGGCTTCAAATACCGCTGCATGCACATTATTCAACCTTCCAGAGAGTACCGTTGCTTCAGATGACCAAAATCCTGTGGTATCAAACCTCTCTGATGATTCTGTGTACGATATTACTCTATAATGTATTTGTGTTACTTTTATTGAATCGAATGCTAATTTTGTGATTGGCTTATACTATGAAACTTTGTTTTAAGTTCCCGGAACAAAAGAGCAAATGCTTGGCAACGTTTTAATGTTATTTCAAAGTTCTAGGTTTCTAAAGTAGGTGTGAAGTTTCTTAATGTTTCTAAGTTTCTTAGTGAAGTTTTTATGTTTTAGGTTATCAGCAAAATTAGTGCCAGGATCTGATAATGATGTTATGAAGTATTTTGAAAGTGGTAGTAATACAAATGCAGCAGATGGCCAGGATCTTTCATCGGTGAATAACAATGAAATTTCTTCTAACCAGGTACATCCAGATATATTTCAGATCTTAGTGGAAAACCTTTAAGGTTTTGATTTCTGGATATCTTTTTTCTGTCTACAATTGCTTTTTGAAATAGCTGTATGTGAGTAATTCATAAAGCTAATCTTTTTTATGGGTGAATTAAACTATAGTGATACTTGTCATCTGTCATGAAATTCATGAAGTTAGAATGATAGAACCTGCGGTACGTGGGCAGAATGGAATTTGTTTAAACGAGTAGAGTTTTTTCAATAATTATAATGAAAAGTGTAAATTCTTCGCAGAAACGAAAGCAGGAACAGATTTGGTCTCGTCGAGGGCGTGGCGTGAGTTCGCTACGTGAGCAACTGCACCATAGCCGAGTACAGCAGCAGACTTTTATCAGTGATAAGTTGTTGGTTTTTTTGAGAATTCAGATGCAGATTTTTTGTTACGAAAATTTGTGAAGCTTTTTTTCAATTTCTCAGCAATGGATTGACAGTTTATCAAAGTTGGATCTAAAGTTTATCCAAGTTGAAATCTAATTTCAGATCACCATCATCATCTTCTTTGGATGCTCTTACTTTTGATAATCGTTTCGGTGGAATGATGTTTGGAAATAAAGTATCATCAATTGGTAACGAAATTCCTAACAAAAAAACGGTATGATTCTCTTTTTGAAGGGAAAATGTCTCTGTTTCATCTAATCGTTTCCCAAACAAACCTACCTCATGCGAATAGGCAGAAAAAGAACACTAGTTTATAATTTCTGGTGGTCTGATTTTTCGCTTAATGTATGTAATATAAATGGACATTTTTGCGCAGCTGCTTGGTTTGCGTATAACTTAATTATAATTTCCGGTTCACTGACAGCGCCTCTATTCAGTTTTTATATAGTTAGAATAGTATGTATTTGAGAGGTTAGAAAGTTCTTGAGAGCTTTTTTACTTGATGGTTTTCAATTCATTTCATTGAATTTTTGTTCTAGACATTTCACGAGAAGCTGCGAAATATGGAGCTAGATCTGGTCCGTTCTCTTCCGCATGATATGATTACTGTCCAACCAGAGCAGTCATCAGGAAATATACAGTAGTGGGTTTTGCTTTTGGGAGTCAGAAGAAATGTTTCTTTTCGTTGTCATAGATCAACTTTTTTCTATATGGCGTTTTCGTTTAAGACATGTTAATGAGGCGGTTATATCACAGATGTTTTTAAAAGTTGTAATTGTAGAATTTCGTGGTATCAAACAATTTATGCATGTGGCTTGAGGACTTTCAGTAATTTGTGCTTAAAAAATTCCGTTGTGCATTGTGCAATATTCATTTGCTTTAATGCAAAGACATATCCATTGCATGTCGTTGAAATGCAAATTTCTGATTTGTTAAAGTTATTTTTATCGAAGAACAAATAAAAGATCATACATCGAGAAATATTTTGTGATGGGCATTCCCTCAGTGACAAATATTCCTTTCAAGTTTGCTGGGAAGAAATAACTGAAGTGAACAGTTATTTGAACCTGGAAAGAATTGTCGGAATTTAAAATAGTGGCACACATTATTTTTTTTTTTAACATAGTGGCCAATACCTGATTCACATTTGATGTATGTATTACGGTTTTCCGATGATGAGAGGCACAATCGACTATGACTGCTCGTTCGTTGTTTCAGGTTCGAATGCGACGGATCTTCACTGTCATTAGCAAAAAAGATCGTCTACTGTCGTGTTTTTTATGTATGCGTTGGCGACTAGATACCAAAGCGGATCATAACAAAGGGTTGAATTTAAAAAGTGAACTTGAATCTGAAGAAATGTCGACATCCTCTCGAGTTGAAGTTATTACTCCTGGGGGAACAGTCCACCATTCGTGTGTCCCGGAACCTCCAGATCCCGCGACATGTTGCGGATCCGGATGCGCAAATTGTGTATGGATAGAGTATGTTACCGAACTAATGCGTTACCATAGTGACCGTCCTTCGCATGAAATTTTGAGTGAAATTGACAGAGCAGTCTCAAACATTGGTCTTCGGGAGTTCGTTAAAGCAGAAATCCGCACACGTGCGAAGTCTCAGTGATGTAAGTAGGCTGTTATTTCAAATTCTTTTCTGCCTTTTCGGGATCAACAAGCCCTATTAAATTTACCTGATTCTTTAATGCTTGTTTTCTCCAAGCATGGGGTTTGGAACTTCTTTGTTAGTTTCCATCCCCTGCTGTTTTATGCTTTATTATTTTACATAAATTTATTTTCAGCGTTGCATAATGTATCGTTGTTTTGGATTAGTAATATCCACATGTATTGAAAACTCCATGGTTTCAAGTCGACTATTGTATATTACCCAAGAATATAGTTTTTGCGCTGTGTATATCCAATCTCAAATAAGGTAACAATATTTTTTGACTTTGCAATGTTACATGCGAATTGCATCCACTGAATGAAATAATTCTGATGCAATTGTTGAGTTAAATAGCTTGTTCCTATGTTAGTTTTTGATGTGATTGTTTCATCGCTACATATGAACGTTTAGGCCGTAGTTGTAATATCAAGCCGTTGCTATTCAACATAGTATGTTTTATTATTACATCTACCGTTACTAATGAAACTAGTTAAGCTCCGGTATATGATAAAGTTTCTCGATAAGTCTTTCTCAGCTTCAGTTCTAGATGAGCGTAACGTCTTCATGACAAGGATAGCTGTACGAAATCTAACATGGAGAGAGTGGCATTGATTTATCTGTGAACAGCGGAATGAATTCATGGAAGTTTCTTGCAAATATTTTTGCTATCAAATAACTGGAGTTAAGCACTTCTGTCCGTGAACGACCTAGTTATCGTGTGAATTAAAGGAATTGTTTAACAACTAACATCGTGAACACTTTCAGGAAGCTTCTGTACCACGTATTCAAAATAGCTAATGATGATTAAAATTCGATTGTTTTGTATAAATTTTATACAAAAATTGGAATCTATAAAGAACATAACGGAACTTGGGTGACTTGTAAAGTTTGTCATTCCCTGTATGTATTCAGTGCCTCATTCGAAATTCAGTGTATATTCATGTTACCGTCTATATATTGATGAATCAACTTACGCTTTCTTTTTTTGCATATCGGTATGGAACTAAATTCGCTCACCGAAAGATTTCTCAGAAGTAGCTAGCTTTTACAATATCATTCATTGAACTTTCCAAAGGATGAGAATCAGTGTAATGGGAACAATACAATTCAGTTTTTTAGTAGGTAGAGTTCACTTTAAGTTTGCCGACCATCACCTGTTTTGGAAAAAAAGCCCTAACATTTTTAAATCTTGTTTAATGATTTTTGAAATGATGTAGTTTTTTTAATGAATTCTGTTGGAAAAAGGTTTCTATAAATCCAAACTCTAAGTAATGGAAAGTAATATGTGCTTGTGATTTAATATTCCAATTGTGATATTTAAGATCAAATGGAGCAGAGAAATACGTATTAGTATTAGAAATACGTAGAAATACGTATTAGAAAACATGAGTATTTCAACGAATCTTTACAGTCATCGGACTCGGCTTATCTGTCACTGCTAATGCAACTCCCAACAGATAGAACTGTGAACATGGTAACCTGATATGAAAAGCTTTTAAAACGATGATCAATAATGGATAGAAAATTCGAAACTGAAAATTAAATGCAATTAATAAGGTCAAGCGACGGCGTGAACAAACTCAAGAGCACGAACTAATCTTAGAAAAAAACAAAAGTCCAAATAAAAGTTTATGATGCACTGGAAACAATCATACTTTTTCAAAAACCAACTGCAAATGGAGATAATAGTACGGAACTGAATATCTCCTTGTATGTTAAGGAATGATTAATGATGTGGGTTTTTTTACTGCATAAATGGGGAAGGTCAAAATGAATCAAAATGAAATAACCATTAACAGTCAGAGAATAGTTCAGATGAAGAGAAGGAAAGGATCGAAGAAATAAGCCTAACAAGTGATGTTGGAGTCGACAAAGGACAGTAGAATTCTGCAAATAGTTCTTGCAAAAGCAAGCTAAATTATCCACAAGTATTTGTTTGCAGTTTGTGATAATAAAGTAATCGAAAGTAATCGGACTCCAAAAAAAGCCTCGCAATGGCCTAGCCATGCTTCTGCATATAATCCGCGCCACAATTGAGCTCAGTATAATCAGTCGCTCTTATCCGAAGTTTTGTTTTGAAGATATGATACTAACGCGGACATTTTCTTATGCGACCCAATGGAAGGATGTACGGAAGCCCAATTAATCCTAAAACTTTTTTGTTTTTTTTTCTTTTTGTCCTCAACTTTTTGTTGTGAACAACCATTCTTTATCGTTCGACCATGTGGTGATTCGTAAATGATAATGCGATAAATCTTCTGAGGTTTAACTAGATTTTCCTTTAAATTTTAGAGTCACTGCGACATTAATCCAAGAATCTCAAGGAAAGACTGCACTGTAGGAGATGTGCATCAGAAAGTCATCCTAAAAGTAAAGTATCTGTAAGTTTTAAGAATTACAGTATGATACGAACTTCGGATTCTTGGTTTATCTGACGTAAAATGTTGTTAAGGTGTTGGACAAAATCTTATTTCATATGTCATCGCAATTGTTATCCAAAGGGACCATTTTGCGCAAAAATGCAGCTGCGGGATTTAATGCGAAGTGTATTCTTTATTTGCCTGTTTGTTGGATCTGTTGCAATCTTCTCCCTTCGTGTTTTATTTTCTCACTTGCAAATATTACTAAACCAAATAAAATATCAGGAATGGTTTATAAGATGTTTTCATTATATATATGCTTCTGGAGAGCATTCTATTGCAAATACATTTGAAGTGGGTGGACTTTTTGGCAGGTTTCACCTCGTTATTATTAAGTTCTTCCCGATGATGCGTTTAGGTGTTTGAGATGCGATGACATTTCACAAATGTCTGATCGAAGATATATTCGTAGGTTAAGAAGAGGATGATTAAGACTCCTCGCAATGATTGCTGATGTGAAACTAAAATGATGTTGGAGACTTGCAGTATAAAACTACCCATCCACTACTCTTCACCAGGATACAACCAAAAGAACGTGCAGATCTCATAAGAGGCCGCGTTTTGCTTTCCAGTAATTAGACGAAGGCTGGGATTTCTGAGATTGTGCGTTAGTCTTATCATCTTTATGATGAGTGGATTTCAGGAAAGTGCCTTTTGGTTGTTAAACAAAATTTCATTGAACTGACGAATAGGACGCATCTTCCCATGTAACTTACTTTTGGCCATTCATTCGTTTATCAATCGTTTTTTTTTTTGAATTCCAGAGGGAAAGTGACCCACTGTCACTTAGAGAATATGCAACAGCAGTGCACTCCTAACTGAATAATTCACTAAGCTAGTATGTTTCTTTTTTTTCGTAGAAATTCGACTTCGACGAAAACTAAATTTAAAATTTTAAGAATTAAATTGTTTCAAACTGAGACACAAATAAGGAATACGATAGTTTTTTTACTACATACCAAAAAGTACTGAACTGTATTTCTGGAAAATGGTGTATTACTATAGGGATGAAAAGATATTGAAGTCGTGACATAATTATTCATCAAATTCAAAATCGCCCTTTTTAAAACATTCATTTCGGTATGGAAAAACCTGATATTATCTTTGAAGGATAAAAGAAAACGCTGACATGGAAGACGTTGATCGTTCGCTGACTTTGCTGCATTTGCGTAAGACGTTTAGCGAGTATTGCAGGATGCCATTAAGTGGTTCAAAAGATGGAGATCGGAAATTTGACCGCGTGCTTCCACTCTTTGGAAGGGTAATGAAAATTTGAAGTCGAAAGAAATTCAAACTTCGTTTATTTTAATATCAGCTCGAAACGAACAAGCTGTAAAAATATTGGTTTAATATTCGGGAAGTCCATGGTGTGCAGTAGTTGCGCAGTTGTTGTCTAACTGCAAATAATTTTAAGTAACATAATCATTAATATTTTCTGGGTTCCTCACTAGGTCTATAAAGTCAAGAAATTCAGGAATACTGCGTAGAACTGCTGATTGCATCACATCACATAAATTTTTTGAATTATTTTTTCACCCCGCTCTACAGGTTATGGTAATGTATCCATCCCCAGAAGAAATTGTCGATAAATTCAAAGAACTGTGTGCGTTTACGGGTCATCTGTGTCGTCAACTTGTACAAGAAATACGCCTAAGGGCCGCAAATGAATGCACTCAGTTGGCAGCTTCTACTATTTTAAATTTTCTACTACCAGATGTTGCTGATTGTCGCGGCTGGACGTTATTGAATGCAGCTTGCTATCTTAGTTACACGTTAGTTTTGATTTCGGTGTTGTGAATTTACCTTCTTGCCAGTGTATCGTAATGATTATGATTACTTATATTACGGTTAAAATTTCATGTGATTACTTGATGTTGAAAATCCGTTATAAATATTTATCTCTTCCACTGCATTTACTGGAGTTTTTTTACTGTAGAGATTTTCAGGAAACAGGAACAGGTCATTGAAGTGATGTGTAAAGCGGCTTTGCCTTCTACTTTGGTTAAAACACTGTATTTATTTTTCGATTTACCCCCTGCCGCTAATGGAGATGTCACATTATCCAAACAAAAACTTCTTGTGATTTTCCAAAAAGTAACTTTTTTCTCGATTTGAAACCATAAGAGCGAAGAAAAAAATAGGAAGAGGACTTTATCTAACGAAAAGTGAATTTATAGCATTTCAGTGTACTATTGAATCCCTTATATATTTTTTGTCTAGATTTTGAAGAAGTTATGTGAATTCAATTGTGTCGGTGAAGAGCTTACTCGGAAAGATGATTTATTCCTTCTTTTTGCCGGCGCTTCATGCGCATGTCCCGCGGAAAATGTTGAATGGAGGGAAGCTGTATCTCATTTACTTGTAGTAGTAATCTCAAGAAGCTTGTCCTCATCTGTGACGAAATATATTCATGGTACTGTTTATTATTCTCCGAAAACTGTAGGTTGTCTAAGTAATATTCCCCAACTATTTTATAGCATGAAATTAACAAATCTCACGGGTTTTAAATTTGAAATAAGAAGTAATGGGATATACGACAGCACAGTATATATCAATTGGCGGGTCACTTAATGTTCTTGTTATGATGTGCTTATGTTTTCAAGTCTAATTTTCGAAAGAAACGTTTGGTAAAAGGAAAATATGTAATGTAAAAATATAAATTGGAAGTGAAAAATTAATTTACTAGTCATTTCTTAGAATGATATTCTAAAAATTTTACTAAACCGTAGATGAAGAGTTTTCAATTTCTCTTTTACAGCCAAAAATTGTATATCAGTATTTTTATCAAATATATGTAAGGAGGATGAAAACTTGTTGGATCAGGAACGCATCGGAATGTTTATTTGTTTGCTCTCTGTTTTGAAGGACTCTGCGACCACTGTGAACGTTCTATTGCAGGATTTTTCCCGTGCTAATGGTTATCTTTTATTACGGGACTTTATTTTGAAATATTCAGAGTAAGTTTTAATTTTAAGTCGTCCTGTGACTTTGTTCAAATTTCGGGCCAGTTGTTGTTTTTCATATCCCTGTTTACCTTTGATTCGTACACTCTGTAAACTGCTTCATTTTGTGCTTGCTTTTCATATTACTTTTTATTTAGGAATAAAGAACTAGAAGAAGGTATTAAAAATATCTTGTTATTAATAATGAGTATGACAACGTGTGGTATTGCTGAACTGAAACCGAATTATACACCGGGATTGATTATACTTCCAACTTTTAATCTTCCAATTCCTTCAAATAATGGCCTTACATTACGCAATGTCGATGCATTTCACCTCCTTTTTCAAATTTTTATACAAGTGAGATTTTCAGAACTTAGAAATTTGGCTCATCCCTTCATCATTTAGTGTTCAAAAATTTTCTTTTATTTTCACTGAATTGTGTTGTTGAAAATTGAAAGTTTTTTGCTTCCAGTGTAAAAATGAACGAATATGCGAGGCAGTTGTTGATGCTGTTCATAATATTTATGCTTCCGATGCGGTTAATTACTTCATTGCGGATAACGATTGTTCATTATCTCAAATAATTGAACGAATGGGGCCAAAGCCCCCCCAAATACAGGTTTTTTTGTGGATATCATACTCGATTTTTGAAAATACGAATGAAGGAGTGGTTTTCTATGAACAGTTCCTACTGTTTGATGTAAAACGATGTGACTTAAGATGCTCAATTTACATTGCATTATTCTGTAGTATATTTGTTAAGACAGCGAAGATCTTTTAATATATTCTTGCTAAGGTAGAGTACCTTATAATGCGGTCATCACCAAAAAAGTGAAATGTGCATATTAGATTAGTTAGGATACTATTATGGTTTCCTTTCGGAAAAGAATTTTCAATATATAAAATCGCAATCTACTGCTCTCAATGGATTTTAGCATATACTTGATTCATCGTAAACAAACTTAAATTGTCTCTATTATGTTTGTGTTTTACTGAAACTGGCGAGCCTTAATTCATTTTAGCGAAAAGTTATGGAACTTGTTGAGTATGTGGTGTTGCATTTAAGTCATATTCCATGTAAAGAGCTTATTGCGCTAAGTGTTCTTCTGAAAACAGAAATATCTGATAATCGTCTTGAATTCTGTGTACTTTTTCTACAAAGTGCTTTCAGGTACATTCTATTTGTTGTTTTAAAATGCAATAAGCTATTTATTAAGTTTGGTAGTAATAGTTTTTCTCAAGTTTATTTCTGCTACATGTTCTTTTTTTTTTTCAGAATATTGTCTGCCAATGCGCTTCTAAAAGATGCTTTTCGTGAAGTTGGGCTAGTTGAGTCGCTGACTTGGACAGTATTGCATTTCATATCAACTGAAAGAAGTAACGTTTTGTCTCTTCTATCAAATTTTTTATGAAATAAGGACATGTAAAATTCAAAAGCTACCGTTTTATATTACTGCGATTTTTTTTAGGTCGACCCCTGTCTGAAAGTGAAGGACGAGTTGCCTTGTTGAGCACTGATATACTTACTCTTCTTGTCAGCAGCAATCTTGCTAATGCTTGTAAGTTATTGGTGTAATTATATAATTTTTCAATTTCTTGAAAGAGTTATTGAAAATTTTTCAAATTTAGGTGTGTTCCGTGAAAATGCAGGTTCGAAAGCAATCATCGACCTTATTTGTAGCGATAACGATGAGTGGAGAGCTTCTGCATTACAGGTAATTTTGCTTCATTACATATGGCTGCAATTTTTAATTTTTTATCTCTTGAGGACCATTTCTTCCAGTTGCATATCTTTTTTTAATTTAAAATGCAGCTCATGAAGCAGCTTCTGATATCCGGTCAAAGTGAAGAACAACTCACAGCTCTACTCCTTGTACTTCATACTTCGACACTTGATAACATGGCTTTGAAAGCAGTTTTGTTAAAGGTATGTTGGAAGTAGTAACAGTTTCACTGAAATTTTTTTGAACCTAAAGTAAAGGTTTGAGATTAAAAATTTTTATTCCATTTATATTTCAGTCTCTTCTCTGTGCTTTACGTGAAAGTCATAAAGTCCGTTTGATGTTTCGACGCAGCGGTGGATACTTGTCTCTGATATCTCTTTTGATCAGCCTCGAGGGGAAGCTGAGCAGTAATACGGAAGAAACGGTCCCGGAAGTGTTTCTTGCCAAAATTACCAACCTTCTGAGGTTTACAGAAATCATTTTCAAGGTACTGGCAATAAGCATGAGATATGAGCCATCCAACTCAAAATATTTTTCGCGCGAGGTGATTTTTTGCTTTGAATTTTTTTCTGAAATTTTGTTACAAATCGCACATTGCTCTCCTGTGTCTCGCCAATGTGATTGCTTACTTTTTGAATAAATTTAGGTGACGTGGGATAATTTATGTCTGGCTTTACGAGTCAGTGGAGCTTTTATGAAAGATGTCGAGAAAGTCGATGCAGAGCATGTCATATGGCAAGCTGAAACATCAGAAATTCAAAATAAAGTTGAGACATGCCACAAAATGTTTGATTTCAACGGACCTTTCAATAGTGGGTTGGTATTTTGAATTCGATCAGAAAAGGTCCAATTTCTTTGCGGGAGAAATTAAAATATGAAAGATTATTTAAACTCCTTTGTAGTTGCACACCACCTGATAAAATTCCGACTTCAATATTTATTGCTTTGTCGATGATGCGGTTTTTGGTCAGCTTAGCTCTTGACAGTTATGAAAAGTAAGTTATATTCAACTGTATAAAAATCCTTGTTTTATAAGCTATAAATGGAGAATTATGAAGCTCCACTTTTTGTCCGATTGATTTTATAGCTTTTCCATCCTTGCTTTGGTGAAAGTGACATTTAGGCCTGAGGCAGTTTGGCCATCAAGTTTGGATCCAGTAACTGGCGACCAATGTTCTTCTCTTGCATCCTGGACAGCAGGTGTACTTGTCCATCCTGGTGCGCTAATTTCTGTCTTGCATCTCCTTCCCGCAATACAGTCATCGACATTTCAGGTAAAGGCCATAAACAAATATGATAGCCAGCAAAATGGTAAAATGTTTATTTTTTGTCAAATTCCATAAATTTATGAAACTTTACTGTATCAAATTTAGTATGTCGAAATAGAATCTGAGAACTCAACGTCTATCGCTTTCACTTTAGTGGGCTGCAGCAGCTCAATATTACTGCGCTCTTCTTATCAAGGCGCTTTTGCGACCGGAAAGAAACCAGCAAATTATGTGCCAGTCAAACATGGCACACAGTATCTTGAAGATTGGCGTTGATGTTTTTAAAAGCGAAAAACACCTCATGCTTGCACCATTTTATTACATCCTGGAGCGACTTTCATCACATGCAATAACTCCGTCCGATTTAAGGTTAATCTCATTCTCGAAAGAACCAGTCTTAAATTATTACTTCATTTTTGTCACTGATATTCTAGCTTATTACAGTCTTCTGAAGCATCCGCAACTCCTAAATTTTAATTACAAAAAAGATTTCGAAATGCATGGCTGAAAAACAGGTTTTATGAATTAGCAACTTCCTTATAGTATTTCTTGGCTGCAGGTCTTTTTTACGTCTTGATATGCCGCTTTGTTGTCGAAATTTGGATGAGACAGAAGACGAAGAACCAATGACGGATGATGAGGGTGGTCCTATTCCCATCGCAAGGTAAGTCGTACTTCAATATTATTGATATACGATATGAAATATTGAAGATCGTTGCTCAAAAAATCGTTTTTTTAAAAATTTCTCAATAGCCCTTATTTGAAATATGAATAGTGATTGATAGCTATCAGGGTCGTTTTCATCATTATATTTTTATTTTGTAATTTCAGGGTAAAAGCGCTGGTTTCAATGATGACACCGCGTGACCATCGAATAGCTCAAAATCCATCATTTGTGGAATTTGATATGGCACCTGAAGGTTTTGCATGTCTTGTAATTCCATCTGTAGCACCACTTTCAACAGATTTCGGAATTGGGCATGGTGAACGGATATTTCCTCCTCTAAATGGTTTAACAGTAATGATGTGAGTAATTTATTACTCTTCGTATTCTGAAAACTTTGTATTATTTTTTTAAGTTACTAGTTGTTTTCTCCACAGATTATTTTTACTGCAACATATTTTTCTCCAAATTTTATGGCAGAAAATGCCCAACAGAACTGGGTGTGAACCTCATATTACTATAGGTGGCTTTTTGTGGAGCAGTTCAGTGATAAGAGAATCGATCCACACCCTATACGCTTACTCACAATTTATCGTTCATTTAATTCATCTAAAAAGGAAGATGGTTTAAAGCAGAATCTCTCACTTGTTTGTCTTTCGGTGCAGGTAACACTGATTCATCAACAGTTTTTATTTTTATGAAGTATTTTGTTGTTCCACAGCTCGAAATTATAAAACCAAATTCAACTAGTTAAAATTATTTACATTGTTCTTCAAAAATTCATTGTAGCTAAGTTCCATCGATCATTCACTCCTAATTTGTACGGCCGAAAGTGAAACTACTGGTAACGACCTTGAGAAGGAACGAAATATTGCGGATGAAAATCTTATTCGCATTGCATTAGGAGATTCAATATGTATTGGACAGTGGACCCATATCGCTGTAGTATTAACCAGATCTGTTCTTAAACATAGCCAGGTAATTATTTTGGCTGTTGCCCTGATCAAGGTTTTCTTCCTTGAAGTTTTCACATTCATTTTTATATTGCTCTTTCACTTCATATGCTTTTCATTTTTTATGAACTTTCCATCTGTATAGGCAGCCATTTACATTAATGGTCGGCTGGAAGGCACTTACAAACTACATTATATCATCCAGAATGTTGGTGGTGGTGCGGCTCATTTGTCTTATGCTAATGGCGTCCATGCTATTATTGGCACACCACCAGCCTATCGATCACAGAGCAGGTAAATGTTTCCATTTAAATTAATCGTCTGTAGTTCTTACTTTTTAATCTAAAATTCTTTGGGAAATAAGGCTTTTTAGTAATTTGGCTTTAAGATTTATCAAAATTTTCAGGCTAAGTGTTGTTTTTGCAGGCTGTGTTTCAAAATTGCTACTTTTGTCGTAGTCGAAGAACCAATGAGCGCAGAAGCAATAATTCGAATATATGATTTGGAACCTCATTATATTGGGAATTTCCAAGTACGTTCAAATGAAATTAAATCTATTACGTTGTGGTATGATTTTTTGATATTTTTATTGCATTATATAACATACTGAATATTGCAGACGGTATCCGGCGATACCCCTTTTATTGCAGAGGAGCGTATTTGTTTATCTTTATCGGCTGTGGCTAATAAAGAATTAAGCGCTTCACGAATTGGTTCAATATATAGCAAGGCAGATAGTGCGTTCATTGCACGTTACGTATGTTTTACACTGTACCGCACAAAATGCTAAATAATATTAATGCGTTGAAGGGGATATATGCTCTTTTCAAAATAGAATCATCGGCCACATATTTTTTCTAGATTGGTGTTTCAATTCATGACAGAAGCACGCCCTTACGGGTTCTTCTCAATACCGTTACACACGCAGCAGGACCAGCACGATCCTTTGGAGCAGTACTTCTTGGATACCTTGGTATACTTTTTTTTCCTTTTCGAATATTGTGCGATCATATGGATATATTTTTGAAGTGGAATTGGATTAGTCCGATGTCACTGCAGACTGTTTTGCATGCATCGTGTTTTCAGGAATGCGGTTGTTTACACCGTGCCCAGTAACTCGACTGTTGGACTGCGTGGGAGGTATATCTTGTCTGTTTGGTCTCGTAGCAATGGCAACAACATCCCAAGAATTATACGCATCATTAAAAGCTTTGACGACTGCTGTAAGGACGGATAAAATTACATCGAGACACCTGATCAGTACGAGATCTTATCAGGTAAACCTTTTTCTCCCATTATTATTCTTTCCTTTAAGTAATACAAAAAAGTATGAACTCAGTCATTTGAAATCATTCAAACTTTTAGATTCTTGCGATGCTTCTGGAAGGAAAAACCGAACTTCTTAATTCACATATTCTTCACTTAATTTTATCTTTGGTTGGCACATTGGATACCAGCAAAGACACATCTATTATCCCGAATCTTTCGGTTTTTGAAGATATGTTATGCGATTTAGATGTTTGGAAAGACGCTAGCCCTGACCTTAATAGACTGCTTTATGAACATTTCTATGAATTAATCACGGAGTAAGTGAAAATTTAACTTCCGCTATTTTTGATTTGCTTTTTACCTGTTATATACGGATTAGAAACTAACGAACAGTACTTTCAGCCAGAACAGTGAGAACCTGAATATGATACGCCGTAGCTCACTACCATCCCGTCTTCTTATTCGACTGTTTGACCATCCGAATCTTATTTTTGCTGTTAATGATATTGTTTTCAATCTTCTTGCTGCACTTTTGCAACCTCCTGCCGATAATTTGCTGCTACTAAAGTGATTTTTAAACTTTTCGGCTTCACGCATGCTCATGCATTTACGTCAAATAATGTCAAAATCATTAATGACTACATATTTCTGGTAACCATGCCCTTTGGTGAAAACGCCAATGTTTCAAAAAAGCTAAACTTCCTACCGAATCTACGATCTGCCTAAGACGATAAAAGCGGAATCGTTCCACTTACTGGATTGGACTTTAATGATGTTCTTTAAATTCTCTGGATCTAAACTTTTGCATTCCATAATTCAGTTATTTGGCGTTTTGTAGAGTTGGTCAGCTGATAGCTGGAACTCTTCCAATGCCTGGTTCGGATCAAGATGAAACGTCATATGCATTCTCGATAACCGATCTGCAAGCAGCTCTGTTTGCCAATAAACATTCATCGCATTTTGATCGTCTGCTTTATGATATTTATGTGCGCAATCGTATTCTCAACATAATAGTAAACACTTTGGCGCATTCAAGTGTAAACAGCAACTTCCTGTGAGCTACGCTTCATTTGATATCATTTCTGACAGTTTTTAAACATTTCAATTGTCAGTAGTTCGGCATACGGTAGTTATTTTACTGACTAGTTAAAAAATAAAACTGGAAATTTGGCTAAATCATTAATTTTTCATTTTTTTTTGTTTATTTTTTCCCGTGCGTAATCTGTATATTCTCACGTTTCGCTTTTTAGATTATGTGACTTAGTCGTTAAAACACTTGGTTTCGATTGGGTGCTGGCTCTGTTTACGCCAGGTGTCCATTATACAACCGTTGTACTTGGTCTACGTATTCTTCTTGCGTTGTTGAAACACGATCATCTAATGCAGAAATTCAAGGAAGGCTCAGCAAATGGTGGTTGGTTAACAGATGCGGACTCATTTGTTCGCAACAGAGCTGCGGTAATTTTTTATTGTGCTCATCGGAATTGAAGCGTATCTATCGAGATTTGCATATAGTCATTGAATATTCGCGTCAAAGAATTTATAGTTGGCAGTAGATGGCAGGACATTTATATATTAGTTCAACTCTTTTATTCTGCAGTTTCGATATTTTAGGTTTTACTTGGTTTCTCCGTGTCAGCTTACGGGGGTAATGTAGGGGCACATGTTGATATCAATCCAGAACTCTCTGAATGTGGCGGTTTTATAATGCTTGAACACTTGCTTCACTTCCACTACGAGAAACCGCAATGCTATTTGGCGATGTTGGCATTATTAGTTGGCCAACCAATATCAAGCATCACACTTGTGGATAATTTTTCTCTTGATTTCATTTGGTCCCATGTTTTTGGTCTTTCTTTGTCAAGGTTATTCACTTCAAAAGTTCATTTTTTCATCAAATTCTGTAGACCGATTAGGTCGATTAGAAGTTTTCAATTTAAGTCTGGAATGTTAAAAAAATTCCTTTTCAGTTCTGTGTCTGAGGCCGTTTCTGGCATAGAAATTTGTTGCGAGGCAGTTATACCTCTGCTGTCGATGGTTCGAGCTGCAGTTCATGCCAACGTATGTTTTAGCGTTGTTTTCTTCAATTTAGTCATCTTTTATGAGCACAGGAATAGCTTTCTAAGAGTATGTGGTATCAATGTTACTGAGAATTGTGTTCAGGATGAGTCATCCCACGATGATAACAGATTGGCATATTCTTCTACGGTGATTCAGATGTTCACTTTTTTATACCAGAACTGTCCCAATTTTTGCAATCTTTGCCACACAGAAGAATTCATAACTTATCTATTTTGTGTTCTTGTACCTCTGGATGTCATGGAATCAAGCACAGTCAAGGATGAAAATTCGCTTTCACCACCATTCTACGACATGCATGTTGGTATGAAATTTCGTGTTTTATATAGTCTTGTGAGCAAAATACATTTGACAAAGCCTATTTGCAACGGTTTCATATGTGGTCTTCAGTTCTCGAAGAAAGTTGCTGTCGAAGTGTTTCGGACCTAATAAAGCGGATTTTATATGAAGATATATATCGGAATCATGGTGCCAAGCCGGATTCTTTAGTAGATGCATTAATCGAGGTATCCAAAAATCTTTTATTCGGTAGAAATTTAATAATTTTGCTGGTTCCATCCAACATTATTGATTCATTCAAAAAAAAGACTGTTAATTCACTTATTTTTCCCGATGAGTTTCTTCTGCCAGAATTTCCTGAATACAGTTGCTTTTTACAGAACATTCCTGAATATGGTTGCGCCCGTCGATTTTGTACTTTTATGCTTTCCGAAAACTTATCTTTGTGCATGGAGTACATGATTGCCACTGGTGAGCTTTTGAATGAATTGTTTGTACAAAATTAGCTATTCACTAATTTAATTCGTTTGTCTGTTTTCAGATGTTCTACTGGAGTCTGAAAAACCAAGCACTGCAGCAACATGCGGGACTTCGGCTGCAAATTCTGTAGTTTTACTTGCAAATTTTGCTTATTTTGCTTCCAGGATTGTTGACTGCGTTTGGAGTGGTAGGTGTTAAATTTCTGATATCATTGTTCCTATTATAAATCGCAAATTTGTTTGAGATTCCAGAGAGCTAAGCTCTAATTAAAATATTCAGGTAGACAGATTTACAGGAATTTACGTTGGGGAAGCAAGTCGTGTTCTTAGTTTCTTATTGAAAGGACTTGCTCTTACTCGACGTAACGATCCGAAATCAATTTCTTACGATTCGCTTATGCAGTCGCTTGATCGGACCATTTTATATCTCTTGAGTAGACCCATTGACAGTGTCAACGGTATGTTATGGCAGCTGTTGCTTATGAGAATTAAGGGAATTCATCAATGATTATTTAAAAAAATTCTTTGACCTTCACGTATTCCAGTTTTCGTCTTCCTGTTTCTACGCTTTAGGGTGCTAACTTCGTTGAAAATGTTCTTTATCACTGTAGATCAAAAGTTAGAAAAAATTTGCATTCTCCTGAAATATATGAAATATATGCTGTAAGTGGTACTCAGAAGTTTAAAAGGATAATTTTTTCCTCTTTTATTGCTAGTAAGTTGCAGTGCAAATGTCGATTCTGAATACGCTGTCGGAAATCATCCAGCATCGTAGCGTCATACTGTCTCCAGCACACAATGATTCTTTGTTTTTCGGCTCTCTCACCCACCTTTTATTTATGCTTTCCGTCACACCGGACATCCTTCCAAAAAAGGAAGGATCATCAAATCTTGATCGTGGAAGTGCTCAGGTGAGCTTTTATGAAAAGGATTTTTATGTGTACAAATTTATTGCGCTTGCTTTTGCAATTTTCTGTGTATTTTCGTGTGCATTTAGGGGTTTGTATTTCAGGTTGCCTTATATGCTTCGCAGGTGTGGAAGGAGGTTTGTGCAGTGAAACGGAATCTTCTAGAAGACGTTTTTCGGAGTGGTTTTGTTGCAGAATTAAATGCAGCACGTGCTTTATTGTCGCATGCTGCTAGTCTCCAATGGCTATCATTTGTTGATTCGCAAATGAATTCTTCGCCAAAAAGTGCTATGCAATTTCAACAACAGATACAGTCGGTGAGTGGTTGTGAACGCTGTTAAGTTAAAATTATCGAAGTTTTGAACTTATTTGTACATAACTTCGAAATTGAGTTGTAGTGATGCCCTCCGTTAGTTTTTAAGAGGATCACGAAAGTTGCTACCGGTTTGCAACGTTTGGCTACCCGCAAAACACTGAGCAGTTCTAGTTCAGTCTGCAGCTTTACGTTCTCGCGACAGCCAAATATCACTACAGAGGTCAGTTCGAGAAACATACATTAATTTCTATGTTTATGATTAAAATGGAAAAATTTTTATATTGAATGATTTAGATGACAAATGTATACAGATTTTATGCATGATTTTGTAGGTAGTTCAAATGTGGCTGCGTGTGCACATATCGTTAATCAGAGAACTTGTTCGCACGCAATGTCTGTGCTATCATGAATGGCATTCACATGTACAAAAATGGTGCATGCAAGACTGGCGTTCTCTTGAAATGGAATTGATAAGGTTTGTTTAGGGGTTCTACTAGATTCCTGAGATTTTCAGGTATAACTGTTTGCTCAAACGACACATCAAAAAATCGATTTCTTTCAGGGAGCGTGGAATTTGGGGAGCAGAACTTGGTTCTTCTTTGGATAAATATATGTTAGATATGACTGAAGGACCTTGCCGCATACGACGAAAGTTGATTCCAAACCCAACTTTCTATCACCATTATCCCTATCGTCCACATCTTGATTCTCCTGAAGCGGTAATTTTTTTTAGTACTTTTCTTTTAATTATTCTCGTTTTATAATTGCTATGTGCATTTCTGTTTTAGTTTAAAATTTGGAGTTCTAAATCAAGGATGAAAACGTCGCACTATATTTGTCAAGATTTGGATGTCTCTAATGATGATATCATGTCTCTGTGATTGTAAGAGAAGTTTTTTTCTTTTTTCAGAAAGCCATGCGTGCTAAAGTAGCGGTATCAAAAGATAGCAAGCTGTATTATGCAGCTATAAAGCGGCGGCGTGGGAAAATTCCAGAACCAAAAATCATCGATTTATCGTCAACGATTTTTACCCCATCTGAAGAATGTTCGGATTCGCTTTTTACTGACATGCAAGGTTTTTAGAACTTTTTTATATGGGTGAAAGGTAATTGCTGCTTGAGTTAAGATTTCTCTTTATAGCACCTCCTTTATTTAGGTACTTTTCACTCACTGCGGGTGCTATTTTCTAAAACTTTTAGATGCATCAGTTTATGTTGAAACACTAAATGATGTGTACTATTTCAGACAACATCCTGTTTTTGAAGTTGTCATAGACATTGTTGTCACTTGTTTTTATCAAATCGAATTTAATTTTCGATTTCTCTAAGATATAAAATGGGATTTCGAAGAGTGTTTTTCATCAGAGATCAGTACGTCAATGATTCGTCGCGTATCGATCAAGCATGCTCTGAGCAAAGACAGCGATGAAACGGAATGTGTTGTAAATGAGAAAGATGTAAACGAAGCGGAAGAGGAAAATATTGAAGAAAATAGTGTAGACGAAGAGCATAGTATTGAGCGACAGCAAGCAACAAACGAGCAGAAAAATGGTACCCAAGGAAATGAAGAAATGACTATTAAAGCAAAAGATGGAAGTATAGAACGAAAAAGAGGACCGGATAATCAGACTTTGCTGAGGCTTCTAGAACAGGTATGCGAAATTCTTTGCGGACTCATGATTTATATTTTAGGTTATTGTTTCCTTGTTTGTGTGCGAAGTTTTACATAAACATTCTACTTAGAATAATACTCTGTTTCGTCTTCTGCTGTGAGCGTTGAGTCATCAGCATTACTTTTTTACAGGGTGAGCAACTCCATTCAATGTTCCGCTGTGCACGTGTGCAGGGTTTGGATACAAGTGAAGGATTGTTATTATTTGGAAGACAGCATTACTATGTTGTTGACGGATTCACACTTCTGAAAACGAGAGAAATCAGGGATTTGGATTTTCTTCCGCAAGAGTAAGTTTATAGATTTTATTTGATTTTTGCAGAAGGATAAATTTCTGGATAACGTTTCTTCCGTACTTTCATTGTGTACCTTTTTAAATTTCCATTTCTACTACAAATTAATGAATTTAGATTGCATGTATTTTTTTTAATAAATTTAGATTGCATGACCCCATCATACCGTACATGGCCTGTGGCACAAGTCATCCTGTGCGACGCATTAGATTATGCAGTAAATTTTCATACAATGATATTCGTGAGGTTCATCGACGTCGCTATCTTCTTCAACCAATTGCTATCGAAGTATTCTCAGCAGATGGGCGTAATTATCTGTTGGCTTTTCCCAGACGTATGCGTAATCGGGTTTATCAAAAGTTCGTTATTTGAATTTCTTCCATCCATTCATATGGTTTTTGTAAATAAAAGTGCAGCATTCACTCAGGCAGACTCAATTTCTTTATGCGTGAAAATTAAGAGTGTGCAGTAATTAGTTTAGAGTTTCAGAGATTATCAGCACTAATAAATAATAATTTATTTCTGAAAAAGATGAATAATTGATAAAAATATATTTTATTACTGCATAGTCGAAATTTTTCTAAAATTTCATGATCTTAAATTTTTATTTTAGCTGCTAATATGTTTTGTAAATCCAGTTTATGTTTTTTTATGTTCAGATTTTTATCGCTAGCAAGATTACTGAAAGACAGCGGATCCGAATCTGTAGGTGGACAGAGGTCGACTGCACCAGTGGAGCAAACAAGTCGTGTTTCATTATTGACCTCATTAATAGGTATTCTTTTAATACATTCGGTCCATTTGGTCGAAAAACTTTCTTGACAAAATGATAATAATAGCATCAACATACTGATAATCTTGCTGTTGACACTTCAATCGGCAGTTGATTCTAAAGAGGGGAAGCAGTTGTGTTATTTCATTTCAGGGCAGCAGTCTGTTACGCACCGTTGGGTACGAGGAGAAATCAGTAATTTTCAGTATTTGATGCATCTGAATACTTTAGCTGGTCGGTCTTATAATGATCTTTCTCAGTATCCTATATTTCCTTGGATATTACGAGATTATGAATCAGAGGTGATTTTTTTCCATCTAAGGAATTTTGTAAATGATGAATTCAGTAAGATAATATTAGATCATTTTATTTATAGTTTTGGAAGTTTTTATAGGATCTAAATCTGACAGATCCACGTTTCTTTCGTGATTTGAGTAAACCAATGGGGGCACAGAATCTAGAACGTTTGGAACAATTTCTAAAAAGATATCGAGAGTGGGATGATCCAACTGGTGAAACGCCTGCATACATGTATGGTACACACTACAGCAGTGCTATGATCGTTGTTTCATACCTTGTACGTCTGGAACCTTTCACACAGCAGTTTCTAAAGCTTCAGGTATTCTGTTATATTTTTATGTCACTATGAACAGCTTTCTTGCATAGGTTTTGTTTATGAGTTTTCCATCAAGTAAAATTAAAATCTTTTACATTATTATCAGCGTAATATATTTCAGTTTTTCAATTGTATAAAAATCAACAACAAAGTGGAATTTTAGGGTGGCCATTTCGATTTGGCTGATCGAATGTTTCACAGTGTTGGTGATGCTTGGCTTAGTGCAAGTCGTAATAATATGGCAGATGTAAAAGAGTTAATTCCTGAATTTTTTTCGCTCCCTGAAATGTTTCTTAACTCAAATCACTTTGACTTTGGTGTCAAGCAGAATGGTGTAGCGCTGGATGATGTGATACTTCCAGCTTGGGCAAAAGGTGATGCCAGAGAATTTGTACGTATGCATCGACAGGTGATTTGTTATTTTAATGGAGAAATCATTTCGTTTACTTTTTTGATCTGAATATAGGATTAGATGTTTTGAAATTTCCAAAAATTCTTTTTCTATGTTTGTTTGCAATTGCTCAGGCACTGGAATGTGATTACGTATCAGCAAATTTGCATAACTGGATAGATTTGATTTTCGGCTACAAACAACGCGGAGATGCTGCAACTGAAGCGAATAATGTTTATCATTATCTTTTTTATGAAGGAAATGTTGATTTCGATAGTATTGAAGATCCACTAACAAGGTATGCATAAATCAGTAAGTTATTCAGGTTTAAGTTTATACGTTCCAGTCTCAACCTTAAGCTTCTCTACTTGTTTGATTACCGAGACTGTATGCAAAAATGTATCTATCTCTAATTAAAAATCTCTGGATCGCATTAAATAAAACATTCTTTTTGTCTAAAGGAGAACGAAACCTTTTTTTTGCAAATGTTCTTAATCATATTGAACAGTTTTGTATTTATCCTGATTTTAGAAGTGCGACCATTGGATTTATCAATAATTTTGGGCAAATTCCATCGCAGTTGTTCAAAAAACCGCATCCACAGAAAAAAGTTACATATGCAGATATTTATTCATCAACTCCAGGCGTTACAACACAGCGACTTTTTTATCACTCTTTTGATTCACTGAAAGTACCAGCACAACCAATGAAAGGTGATTTTTCGATATTTCTCGGAAGGTTGGATAAGTTTAGTCCTGTTGACTTGTTAAACTTTTCAGAGTTAAAATCAACTGTTGGGAGCTTAATTCCACTCGAAAAAGGTGGAGTGCTTGCCCTGGAAACAAATCGTGCACTACTTTTACCAAATCGTTATATATCTTGGGGCTTTCCTGATAGAAGTATAAGGATTGGTGCCGTTGACAGTGATCGGGTGATTTTTATGTCATATTCAGTCTTTAAAGATATAAAAACTCGGCTTTTAAATCTGAGATATTAATGTCTTGGTGATGTTAGAGAAAATGGAGCAAGGTTTTTGTGATGGTCTGTGTTTGAAAGATAATAATAGCGCAGAATTTTTTCCAGTCAACTTGCATTTATGAGATGTGCGAAAGCGCCGAAATTACTTGTTGTGCATGTGGTGATCCACGGACGGTTTTCACCGGTTCCAGTACAGGTAAAGTTTGTGTTTGGGATTTGACGGAACGACATCCTCGCATTCGCTTTCGTCGTACATTAACAGCACATACAGAGGCAATCACTTCACTAGTTGTATGCTCAGCACAAACTTTGCTTGTGAGTGGTAGCCGTGATGGCACTGCTATCGTGTGGCATTTGAGTGCATTAACATTCATTCGACAATTACGACCCCATCCGTCCGCAGTGACAGCTGTTGCTATAAATGACACAACGGTTGGTTTCCAAAATTAAATTTCTCAGAAATCTATGAAATAAATCAGTGTAAACCGATCAGAATTCATCTATAACTTGAATTGCAGGGGGATATACTTACAGCATCGGGATCGACACTGTTCCTTTGGTCAATCAATGGACGACTTCTCTCTGTAGTTGATAGTGTTGATCCAGCTTCATTCGATCAATTTCCTAATGTCATTTTATCACTGGCATTTTCCACGGTGACTCTTTTAATTCTCATTTTTAAACATAACTATAATGCATTTATATTTAATATCTATCATTTTCTAACTAGCTATACGAATGGGATCCAGAAAATGTGGTTATGTGTGGCGGTAGTGATGGCATTGTACGAATATACTGCTTGGAGTTTGTGAGAAATGAGGATGACTTAGATCCAAGAGCAAGTCGATTACCAGCGTATGTTCTTTTTTTTTTTTTGAATTTGACTTATCAATTCAAGTTTTGTTTCCTGCGAGATTTCATAGTTTTCTATGTTCGTGGTTTTGTAGTTTTTTCTGTGCGAGATTTTCGTTGACTCTTCCGATTAGAAATATTTAAGAACATTGCAAACAAATATAAACAGTGCGACTACTCTACAACGACACCTTGAACGACAACGACAACGTTTAAAGTTATTATCGTTAGCAGCAAGTTCATCGGATACTCCCTCTACTGGAAATCAAACTGGTTCACCGGAGCCACTTTTCGATCCTTCTATTAATTTGTACGATGTCGATGAAAAGTTGGATTGTAGTTGGGTTAGTTAATTTCATATCTTTCAGGTGCAGGTACCATTGAATATTTCCTTCTTAAGGCATTTTATTCTTTTGTTAGGAGCATGAATAAAATTTTGTTTCAGAAATTGCAAGAAGGAGAAACTAATCATTCGGAAAAGTTGGTTTGGAAGAAATTATTGGTACCGAAATTTTCATTGACAACTCATACAGCTTTTAATCGTAAGGATAATCCACATCCTGCCTCGATTACAGCGATCACACCATCGAGGTTTGTAGAAGTTGATTCGTGTTTTTTTTTTTTTTTTTTTTTTTAATTTAAAATCTGTATTTTCGTCAAGAATTTCAGAGATCATCGAACTCTGTTTGTTGGAGATAGTGTTGGTCGCGTTTGGAGCTGGCAGATTGGTGATGAAGTTGGTGCACGTGCGGATCACTGGGTACAAGATCCGAGTAGAAATTCATGCACACAATGCATGCAAAAATTCTCGCTTGCGGAAAGGCGGCATCACTGTCGAAATTGTGGGCATATTTTTTGCAACCGGTGAGTCATGTCTTTTGTTCAAGAAAGATGTAATATCCGTATCTAATTTTTAGTAAGTATATGGAACAATTCTAAATCATTGGCGTGCTTTTGTGGATCACAGATATTTGTATGTAGTGTTTTATGAACTGCATTTAAATCCTTTAAAACTGTTTCGTTTTAGGTGTAGTCGGTTTGAAACTGATATAAAACACATGAAAATTTCGAAACCGGTACGTGTTTGCCAGAGTTGTTTCTTACGTTTAAAAGCAGAAGGAGTGTCCTAAGAAGGAGGAGATCTGGAAAAGCAAGGACTTTCTTCTCTCTCTGCCTCTTACTGGCATGTTGTATTTATAGCTTATTTAAAGTATTTGTTAGTAGGTAGCAATTTTCTAAAGATTTTCCCTTTGATCTCAATCTTCTAATCCGTTTTGATATAACTTGTGATTTGGTTCTTTATTTCCATTTCTTGCCAACAGTCTTTTGCATAATAAACTGATATTATTGCAAACTGTTGCAAACATCTGACTTATCCAAGATTGTATCCAGAGCAGTATCAGGATGTTTAAGCTAGAAGCAAGGGATATAAGTTGGTTTGGAAGAAATTGTTGATGCCGAAATTTTCATTAACAACTCATACATATGAATAGAGAGTTAAGATATATCTTAAAATTGTATGCTAAATACACTTAAAATTTACGTCTTGTAGAGTTTATTATATAAAGTCAGTATTGTTCTTAGGGTAGAGTATGCTAAATTACTTCTGGCTCATTCAACTTTTGGAATATCATGGTTCAAGATATACGTATGTTGGCATCTTTTGTGCCAAGAGGTTGTGAAATTTCTTGATGTTCAAGTGATATTGTTTCATAGTATATTATTACTAAGTAACGGTATTTTGAACATATCGTATCATGTTTTCATTATATCTGTTTCTGATGGTGGTTGCTAGCGCTTTCGTTTCGTCTCCTGATAAACTTTGCTTCGAATTCAGTTGTAAAGGTGAAGAAGAAACAGGATGAGAAGTTGGACGTTGAAGCATGGATAACTTTTCCGAAGATGAAATATGTGGAGTGGCCTTCATTTTTATTGGCACATTATTCTGTATTTTGCCAGAATGCTTTTTAGCATTGGTTCTAAATCAGTGACATGTCGAAGCACGCAAATTTTTTCCGAAGATCTTTCGCCTTTTCCAGTTCAATTCGAGCAATTTGTATGAATCATACTTCTCGGGACAGTGAATTACGACATAATGAAACGCTAAGATTTAGCACTTCAAACACCGTTGAAGGGCAGTTAGTTGAAGGGTCAAATTGAAGGGCAAACGGACGGAATAAAAAATCTGCTCGGAGTAAAATCTGCGGAGCTCCCTTGTGAATTAAAACTTATGAACAAGGTAGAGGTAGAAAAAGCGAGGTCATAGACGACGTAGGAGAAAAACGGAGGTGGGATAGGGGTTTTCATAAAATTCTGGGAATGTGTAGCAAGGCTACCTTTCGTTGAGTTATACCTTGGTGGTGTTTGGGAGATCTGTGAACAGCGGTTAGTGAGTGATAAGGGATAGGGAGGACTGCCGGAAACTGCGCCCTACTGGTGCTTCTAACTTGCATACCCTGACAGTAAGGTATTGTATGTGAACATGTAAAATAGCGTTTGATATATCGATGGTGGTCGGTTAGCGGCATGGCGAATGGCTGTTGTACAATGAGTAAAAATCAATCGTTACAGTTCTGCACATGACACTTTGTCATTTATCTATCCCTTTTAAAATTTAGTTATTTTGTTTGAAGTTCCTGAAACACGGACAGAAGCATTCAGTTGAAATGGCACTGAAACGGATTCAGAAAGTAAGTTTCCGGTTTATATTGGATTTAAATGGAAAAAAACTTCGTAATTTGGCAAAGTGAATGAACGAAAAATTTTTCATTGTTTAGTGCACCATCTTCCTGTTCTTCTTTATTTGGTGTACCATCTTTCTGCTGTCCCCCCACAAATTTTTGGTATTACAGTAGTTACTCTGCTTGAGGATTATTTCTTCATAATTTATAGTTTACTTGTTCTAGGAATTGCAAGATCTGGGCAGAGATCCGCCCGCACAGTGTAGTGCAGGACCAGTTGGTGATGATCTTTTTCATTGGCAAGCTACTATAATGGGTCCACCAGAATCGCCATATCAAGGTGGTGTGTTTTTCCTGACAATTCACTTTCCGACGGATTATCCGTTTAAACCACCAAAGGTAAGAACAGTGAGGCATTGCCGAAATAAAAGATTGCTTTAATTTTTCTTTATTTTTCAACTACTGAACATAATATGAATATGAAGAACTGCAAATTAGTTTTAATATTAATATGAAGAACTTCAAATTAGTTTACCTAGTGGTAGATTCCCTTTTAAAGAAATAGGATCAAGCCGTGTTGTAAGGCACTGGTCTTCATATGCTATTTTCTTTGCCATATTCCATCGACTTTCTTCCACCTTTTTAAACGGCTTCGTGTAAAAATTATAGGTCAGAATTTGTCTCGTTTGCGGCGTTTTGCCTACCATACTTTTGACTCGTTTGCTTCTTCGGTGGTATGATTCTTGCCAGATATTTTTGTTTTATATTTGACATCAGCAGACGTCTCATAAGTCGTTTAAGTTTTATTTCCAGTACTTTCACTTCGGTCGAACTATCCTAACGGGATTATATTTTTTATCGAAAACAGAGAAAACATTCATCTTGAATGAAGCATACAGATAAACAGAAGTGATTATAACATGTCCTTCTGATTAGACTTTTTTGCTTGTGGTTTGTAAAAATACACTTAGTTTATGTATTTTTTGTAAAAATGTGATCCATATTTGAACCAATTGATGTGATTTTTGCAGGTAGCGTTTACAACTCGCATTTATCATCCCAATATTAACAGTAATGGTAGTATCTGTTTAGATATTTTGCGTTCTCAGTGGTCACCCGCTCTCACAATTTCAAAAGGTATAGTCTTCTTGGAACATATTGATTCAAAAAGTATTATCTTCTTGCATAAATTTAGTGTACCCAATCTTACTTATCTGTCTCTCAAATCTTGAATTGATTGATGAACTAGCTAATAATCAATGCAGTAGAAGTAGACAAAATACCTCCATCCGTCCCAGAATCAATGTTCCAAACTTAATTGACTAATTCGAAGTGTAGTATTTATCTAGCTTACCTGAAGCTTTGAAAGAATATTAATTTACTATGACCCGCAGAGCTGCGTTGTCTGATTCATTCAATCAAGGTGTCTCTTCTGCATCATGGCATAGTTACAGTATTTTTTCATATGGCTGCGACATATGATTTAAATCTTATTCCGTGCAGTTGCAGTATTGTTATCAATCTGTTCACTGTTGTGTGATCCGAATCCTGATGATCCATTGGTGCCTGAAATTGCGCGCATTTACAAAACAGATCGAGAACGGTACAATCAACTAGCTCGTGAATGGACCCAAAAATACGCGATGTGATAAATTAGAACATATATGTGAGGTTGCAGGTCGATGCGTTACGTTGCCTTATTGAGCAAAGTAAAGTCCACATGTCTTTTCGAAATATATGACATCTTAATTGCATCAATTTTTTGATTTCTTGGTTGTCAGAAATTCTCTAAATTTTTTCCGGAATTAAATAGATTGCTTTCATGAGGAAACGTTTTATTCTATTATGCTTTCTGAGCTTTCAAAATAATGTACGTCAGCGCACTCCTGCCACTTTTCCTTTTCTTGCAGCACAATTCTATCGTTCTAGACATAGCTGCGAGTATTGTGCATAACAAAAAAAACTTTTATACTTTGTCAAAGATCTGTATTGTGTAGTATGAATTTTCCTTTCTCCCTTTTCCTGTTACGCTCTTTCATATTTTCCTTCAACCTGAAACACCTAGTTCAAGTGTTCTTTTTTGGGGTTTGTCGTTCGTTCATCCTGTGAACTTTGACGATTTTGTACTCCTTATTTGTTTCTTTTTTTTTCTTTTTTTGTTTCTCTCATAGCAATCTGTGCTGCGTATAAGTAATATAAAATTAACTTCCATTTATTCATTTGCATATAAAAGTTTTAAAGGGTATTTTGCCTATGTTTTTTGTACTATTCCACTAATTTCGTTGTCAAGAGCGTAGCATGATATATTTGCGTTGAACTTTGTTTTTTTTTTTTTTTTTTTTTTTTTTTTCAAATGAAATGAATCCGTCCTTTGATTTTGCTATTCAAGCAAGTTCGGCAGTTCAAGAAATAGAGAAAGGTGGTAAGTTGTGGTCGATTTGTGAGTGCCTGTCAGTAAACATCGAGTTCATTGTATTGAATCAACCTTAAACTTTGTGGTCGGTAAGTAGGGCTGCTGGGTTGCTTTCGAAGATTAAAGTGCTGCATTTTTTGCTTGTCTTTCTTGTCCGGTTAAAAATAATAATATATCATTAGAGCTTGGTAGCTGATGGTCCCTCATGGTTAGGTTATGTAGTTAGGGGAGCGATTTGGTACTTTTTTTGGAAGTATTTGGTATTTGTATGCTCGCAGACGTCTTCATCAATTTCAGAAGTGTAACGTTCTTTGGGCTCGTATTTGACATCGTCTGCGCTAAAAGATATCGCTGATGATCACAGTATGGCAGACAAAAGTGAAAGTAGTTCAGAAACCGATGAACAAATTGTTGAAAGCGAGTCATGTGTTTATCATGTAAATTTCCCGAAATATTGAACTAAAATGAATGTTTGGGAATTACTTCGTGATTCTATTACTGATGATTACATAGAAGACCTTTGTAGAACACTTTTTAAGAAAGGGTAGAATTAGTGCTTTGGGCAAAGTCCAGATCAGATGTAAACGATTTTTTGAGGGTTTTGATATCATTAATATTTCTTTGTCCAGATTAAGTGGGTGGATGTAGAGGGTGTCGGATACGCGGTTGTGATGCAAAATGAAAATGGGCCGTGTCCATTGCTGGCTGTTATCAACGTACTCCTTTTGCGAGGTCGTATTTCATTACTTTATAATTTTTATAGCATTTGTTATTGCAATTGAAGTTGATTTCTGCAATTAAGTAATTAAGGTAAGGAAAATAGCGTAGAAATTTTCTGGAGCAGCGGGTGGAAAAGTTATGGAAAGTAGTCTGGCATTTCGTTACTCTGAAGACTAAGTAAAATCTGTTTATCTGTTGTTTGCAATTCCGAATATTTGCAGGACAGATTGCCTTACCATGTGGTTCTACAGAGGTCAGTGAAAAGAAATTATTGCAGTTTGTTGCAGATTGCATACTTCGTCTCAAACCTAAGGTTAGCACTTAAGTGACTTTAAGTTTCTGTACATGAAGATTTTCTACCACTCATTCCACAGATCAATTCTATAACATGAGAACTTGCCAGCATAAGAACTGTGATAAATTGCCTCAAAACATTGAGAAGTTTTCGAAATTCTTGCGCGTAAACTCTTCCGCACTGCGACATTAACATTGCAATATCTAACAGTCGTCAAAATGAGTTCTTGTATTCTGTTTCAGGACATTGATGAAGCCGAACTGCCAAATTATGAGCAGAATGTATCAGATGTACTCGCTTTGATACCTTCTTTACCTAAGGGTCTCGATGTAAATATTCATTTCACTGGGTGTGTTGTCTGTTTTTCATACAAATTTTGCAGTGAACTTTTTCTATGGTTTGTAACAAAAATTTACCGAATAGTTAGTAATCTGACATTTTCCAGAGTAAAGAGATTTGAATATACGCCAGCATGCGCATTGTTTGATATTTTGAATATACCACTAGTGCATGGATGGATTATTGACCAAGCTGATCAGGAATTATGTATGTTAATTTCTTATTTGCTTCCGAAATTTTCTCGCATAGAAATAGAATAATTCTCTTTTCATGCTAAGCTATGCTGAAATCACTATTGAGGAGAAATTACAAACATTGTCACATTCTACGCTATTTCATATGATATCTGTCCCAAGTAATCTCTTTAGCAGTATTTGTATTTATGAAATGCGCTTCTCGACAAACTGGGCAATTAGATCTCAGAAGCATGTTTGAATAAGTAAAACGCATGTATAAAAGATAATCATGATGAGTGATAGGTTTCTGTGGTTGTCCTTATTAATTAAAAAATGAGAGCCAGTGTTGTTATGATTGTCACTTTATTGCAAGTGATTAGCTGGTTTTTTATCACTGTATTTTACAGTAGTCCGTTATTTTGCTTCGAAGGAAATTTTTTTTTCAGTGAGAGTGGTGGATGGATTAAGTTACAATCGAATAGTGGAGAAAATTGTTAGTACAAACAATGAATCCGAAAATTACATGCTGAGAAATTTCTTGGATTCGAGCGCATCTCAGTTGACAACGCAGGGAATTACCGAACTTCTTTCAAATCTTAAGGATGGTGAAATCGCTGTGCTTTTCCGAAATAATCATTTCCAAACGCTAGCAAAGCAAAAGGTCTATGAGATCCACACTTCTGATAATATTTTCTATCTATTGTTTTATTTCACTTTTTATTTACCCATAATTTTTAAAACACAAATTTTATGAATATCTTGTTTGCAGGATGCGTTGTATGTTCTAGTTACTGATATGGGATTTCTCGGAGAATCTGCGGTTGTTTGGGAAACATTGGATTGTATTGATGGAAACTCTACTTTCGTCAACGCAGTTTTCAGTACATCGCATAAGTCGAGCATCCTTGCTAACGAAAGTGCTGAGTAGGTTGAAATTTTTAATTTAAAGAATCGTTTGCTTCTTTATGCCTGGGGTTCCATCATGTTTGATTTTTGTGTTCAAATAGTTCAATACTGAACCTCCAAACATTTTTAATAATATATACTGATGAATTAAAAGTTTATTTGGCCAATGTAAGTTAGAATAATTTACATTCGTTCATTTTAAATGTTTTTTGGCAGTCATCATATCGTAACTGTATTAGAGTAATAAAATAATTTTGGGTTATAGATATATGGAGTTTCTAAATCTTTGAGGCAGTTACTTTATCTCACTCAGCTTATTCAACACTTCTAGAAATGACTTTTTTTAGTTACTTGTTGGCCCTTTCCATACAAGAAGCCGAGAAGGAAAGTACGGAAAATCGAAGCACGTAAACGTTTGCTTTTTTTTCCTTTCTTAAGCAGACTTTTTAATCTCTTTCTAACAATACGTTTTGAAGATTTCAATTGTTTTGAATTTCTAGAAGTAATCGATATGTTAGCTGCCATTTGATTTGTTAGAAGCTATTTTTATGACAAATAATCCAAAGTCGAATTGTTTCTCATATTTTGAAACTTTTTCCAGTGTGCCTTACTTTGACAGATTGTTTGTTCTCTTTCAACAGATTTTTTCTTTTCTTTTTCTGGCAGGAATTGTTTTTAGACACATGAACGAAATAAGTCTCTCAATTGAAGAGCATGATGTGCAGCGTGAAGTTCCACGGGTGCGTATATTACCTTCGTCGGCTCAAGCTATTCGACCAAGCAAAAATTACAATGTTCGTTTATTTTGATTCTTTCTCTGTTGTCTTTAAATTCATTATTACTTTGGTCGGCTGCGTTTCATTTGCATGAATTACTTTCAGTGCTTGATATTGTAAAGCAATGGCCGCCAGTGGAAAAATGTTGTCAGAATCTCTTAAAAGAGCCTCATTGTAATACCTTCAATTCGTTGTTTTGTCGGAGATTGGGTAACTGGAAATGACGCGCCGTTAGTTTTCTGTCGACATTTCTACGAAGCTGCCAATTACTAATTCTGTTTTTACTATAAATTAATTTGCTGTGATACCGAAAATGTCATAAATTTTTGTAGATCAGTTACTAGTCGTGTAGATGTTCTAAATTTTGTAAATTTTTTGGTTTGAAATTTTAACTGTTGCGTCTCTCGATGCATATATACTGGTATATCTGTGATTTTTTGACTTTTCTTCACCCATTTGAAAAAAAATAATGTGTCATCATTTTTTCCACTATTGTCATACTTTAAATTCACCTGAGATGTATTGTCGTTGTTCTGGAAATTGGAATATACATATTGATTTCACTTGTATAAATGTTTAAGTCATTTGCTAGGTAACAGAAAATAGAGATGAAAAATTTTTTTTGATCAACTTATGAATGTGTATAAATGTGTATATTTATCTACCTGAGAGAGTATTGCTTTTTTATCCCAAGATTTCTTGGACATCTTTGTTTCGTATTTCTCTGCTTTATCAAATATGTAATTGTGTTTGAGGCTCAAAAATAAATTGATGGTAGTTGTTATGCGTTTATTTTTATTGCAAAGCCTCTCTTCCTTATCCTATTCTGTTTTTGAAGTTTTAAAATGTTGTTTAGATTTTCTTTTCACTTTTGAATTTTTTTTGTTGGTTCATTTTATCGAATTTAGCATACATACACTTTTGAATAAAATGAATAAGCAAACAGTGAGCTTTTCAATCTTTATCCGTCTTCGGAGCTGTCTATAGCAATTTGCTTATGCTCAATTTGTAAACGGTGGTGGAATGATCCAAGAATAATTCAGCAAAAAATTTCAAAAGGATGATGTGCTCGTGTTCTAGAAATTTTTACCAGTTCATTGCGTAGTTATAGACTAGTTGTAAGGAATTACTGCTATTAAGCAATGTCTATATTAGAGTTAAAATCCCATCTTCTGTTGTTGAACTGAGTTCTTTTGTAGGATTTGAAAACGTGGAAGTTTGGGTCACCTTGGTTGGACGTCTGCTTTTTGATTTGGACTTCGTAAACGACTTGAGGCGTTCTTGCTGGACAATGGCAATGAAATTTGTTCCCTTCACAACTTTCGTCGATCCGTTGTTCTGGGATGAATTGGGTATGCGAAAGTTAAATGATTGGAAGTTGGACGAACAACCGCATTCAATCACTGCCACATATTGCAATCGTAATTTTTCTTTGGGTTTGATAAATTTTATTTCAAAAGAAATCTTTGCAAACAACTGCCTTAAGAACGATGAAGTTGGTGGATTTCTGGTGACCTTTTGATGATTTTCTGTATTTTCTCTAGCAAAATTATCAGCAACGGCGTTGTTCTTTTTACCTTTATCTCATGAAAAAGTTTACTGGTTCACATGGGATCATTGTTTATTTCCAGATAATAGCACTAAATTTGCATCTTATTTATCTTTGAGTGCTTGAAATTTCTTCTTTAGTACTGTTGTCTGCAAGATTGCATCTTGTTATCGTCCGGCCGTAAACATTTTACTGAATACGGGTGAAACTTCGTGCTGTTTTGGAAGATTCATTAATTGTTGTATAATGAAGTATTAATTTGGATCATGATTTTGATGTAAGAGTTTGTTACATGTATAATAATGTGTTGAAGGTTAAGAAACAGTTTTGTCAGATGATGAAATTCTGAAAACTTGTTTCTATTACTCTGTAATAGAAACAAGTTTTCAAAATTCAGATGCTAATTTGTCGAAGTTGTATGAAAGTATCAGATTTGCATACTCATATATCGGTAATAAATTTAACAGTCAATGTTATAGAAGATCCAGGGACATCAAGCACAAGGTTATCCGTATCGTTTGATGCATTTTTGGCAAAATCAGAATGGAACAAAAACGTAGTTCCGGTGAATGGATTAGTGCTTGCTGTAAATACTCATGAGACATTCAAAAATCTTGATAGGAAACAAATCTTGTGCAATGCTGCTGTAAAGGTCAGCTTTTTTGTTCTAAATGCACCTTTTATGTAATTTTTTCCCGAATAAGCTTCATTTACCAGATTGGTCGTGTTGGATACTGACCTTTTTTCATGGTTCAATTTTCAATATGCTGCACATCTAATTCAACCTTCTCTTAAAGTTGATTTAGGTGTGAAACATACTCAAACTTTGTTTTAGCTTTTCTCCAAGTTTTTCCTTGATTTAGTTATTTTTATATGCTGGCAATGCTTTTGTTAGTTAGCCGAAATAATTTCAAAAATAAGGTTTCGAATATAATTAACTCATACGTAAATTTATGTATACAGGTGAAAAAGTGCATTGAGTCATTGGATTGGCTTGAAAAGCCGTCGTTATTGAATACATTTTATCTTACAGTGTATCCGGTTCGTTTTTTACTTTTCATCTTTTTACAGTCGTACTTTGTCAACCGTTTTTGGAAATTTTTTCAACATGTTTGGAATTTCAGTCATATTGATAATTTAATTTGTCACTCTAACCGTTATAATTTCGTTGCAGGATCTGAAAAAATACACATTCCGGTATTGGAATTGCATTCCTGCACTCCTTTATCCGCAATCAGTAAGGATGTTATCAGATCCTACGGAGCTTTCGGCCGAATTGGCGTCTTTGATTCAAGTTTTCATTGCATTGCGTCACAATGAACCTTTTTTGTTGGTCGGTAAGATGCCAACTCCCTTGTCGTCAATACTTTCAAATAATTTCGTATGGAGCAGTGACATCTTTGTCGTTTATGCAGATCCGTCTACCTTGACAGCTTTTCCTGGTTGGCCATTAAGGAATCTGTTAGCGGCAATAGCTTACGTTCGGTACGTTCTGCAACAATTTATATAGACTTGCATTCAATGTCGTAAAAAAGTGTTATTTTTTTATCATCTAGAGTCAATTCTTTTAGAAGGGATCTGCAGAGTGCCAAGTTTGTCTGTTATCGAAGTGGTGGTGTTCCTAGTGTCATTCTGCATCTCGGTTGGGAAACAGATGGTAATCTGAACACTGCCGCAGTTGGATGGGAAAGAGTAAGAGGCTCACTTTCTCCTGCATTTATCGATCTTCGAGGGAGCTTAGATCCACTAAAGTAAGTCACGGTTTTATTACTCATATTAACAGAATTTGAAAAGGGATTTTACAGAAATTCAAACCATCCTGCTTAATTCATCTAATGGTTCGATAGATGTCTTAATCTTAACTGACTAATATAAAATAGTTTTTCTTAGCCACTGCGAGTTTTTGGATTTTTTCTGGATGCATTCTTTCTCATGAAAGCAAAATATAAAGGAGAGGAGATTAAGAAAGTGTAAAAGCATATAAAACTAGTTGTAAATAATTACTACTAAACTTGAATGCATGATTCATTTGTGAGCATATTCGCACTCATTGTATGTTCATTTTATCTTGACTTTTGTGATAAATGAAAGGGATTGGATCCCATGTTTTGCACAATTTATTAAACCGCTATCAATTTGTTTAGGAAGCGAACTTTGAGGAAGGCTTAAAATTAATTCGTTTGGTGCATTTATTTTTCGTATCTTCTCTAGGTTTTTCTTCCCGTATATTTTGATGTATGTTAAGTGGTAAAAATTATAGAAAATTTAAACAAACACTTCTAAATTAGAAATGAGTGAAATGTATGATCAAAGAAGGAAAGTTAAAATTGCGATCCCTATCGTTGAATTAATTGTGTTAACTATGTTTGTAATTTGATTAGTGCTATCTTGGACAGCTTTTTCTCATTTCAGACTAATGGACTTCAGTGCTGAACTGAATTTGCGTCTGATCCGATGGCGTTTGGTACCTAATATCAATCTTCAGCGTTTTGCCAATTTGAAATGCTTAATTTTGGGTGCTGGTACCTTGGGTTGCAACGTAGCACGTTCACTTCTTGGCTGGGGCGTTAAAAATTTTACATTCGTTGATAATGCTCACATATCATACAGTAATGTTGTAAGGTCTCTCTTAACCTATCGTCTTTAATGGAACATTTAAATGGAAAAATTGCATTGAATATTTAATTAAAATCTAATGGAAATAACTGTTCACATATGACTTCTATTCGTAAGCGTTTTAGTTTTACGAAGTTAATGATGTTGTGTATTTGATTCAGTATATTTTTTTCCAGACAATCGCTGTTTGTTTTCGATGACGCTGTGAGTGGAGGGAAGTTAAAAGCTGTTACAGCTGCGGAAGGCCTCCGTAAAATAAATCCATTAATAAATGCTAAAGGTGTGTGCATGAAAATACCGATGCCAGGCCATAACGTCTCAGAACAAGGTTCGTTCTTTGAGGTTGCGGGATATATGACGAATTCAATGTATGTCTCACATTATCATTACCGCACTACAATTTTCTTTTATATTTTCGTTACAGAGGAGAAAGAAGTTGAAGAAACCGTGAAACATTTGGAAGAACTAGTGAAGGATCATGATGTAACGTTTTTGTTACTTGATAGTAGAGAAGCAAGATGGTTGCCAACACTTATAGCAACTTTTCATTGCAAAGTTTGTTCCTTCCGTTTCCATTTGTATTTTATTCCCTTTTTTTCTGGTTATTCTGTTTTAGATTTATTTTAAGCTTCCAGTCTGAAATTTTCAAGTTATTCTATTTGTGATTGATGGTTTTAGTTGGCAATCAGTGTTGCGCTTGGATTTGATTGTTTTGTTGTAATTCGTCATGGTGTTTCTGACGGTGAAACCATTGAAGATCTCAAACAGTCACAAAATGATCCCAACATTGTTCCTGGTTCTCAACTAGGTTGTTACTTTTGTAGTGATGTTACGGCACCTGGTAATTCTTCTCTTGATAGAACCATGGACCAACAATGCACGGTTAGGACTTTGTTTTCATTAGTCATATCAGTTTGTCCTGTTTAAAGGAAATATTGTTTCAATTTTTTTAAGAAGTAAAAATTGATTGGTCACTTATTGAAACTTTTTAGCATATTTGATTTGAAAATGTAATTTTTCAATATAGTGTATTTTCAGGGGTATCTAAAATGAATCGTAAATTATTAATTTTCTTATAAGTCTTTCAGGTCAGTCGTGCAGGCATATCTCTGGCTGCATCTGGCGCAGCCGTTGAATTGCTTGCCGCGGTTGTTCAGCATCCTAAGATGGGAGGATCTCCTGCTCGTCTTGGGGAAAATGACGAGTCAACAACTGTTCTCGGTGCAACACCACACCAAATCAGATCTTTCCTCTCAAGATTTACACAGGTAAAACATTTTATGGCAGGCTTTGGGATAGCTTTAGGTGTTGGGTTGATTTTAATGATGTAGTCTTTGGCTTATGTCTGAAACTTATCTTTGTTGAGAATTGCTTGTAGATGACTCCAGCCGTCAAGCGTTTCGAACGTTGCGTCGCTTGTGGAGCTGCTGTGCAGGCTGCATATCGCTCGGATGGTTTTCAATTTTTGCTAAAGGTTTTCAACAGTCCACTTTATTTAGAACTAATTTCCGGACTAGATCAGCTCCAGGCGACTGCAACGGAAATGGATCTCAGGGAATTCGATGACAATGAAAGTGTCTCATCTATCTGATAAACTTCAAATATTCAAATACTCGATTTATTTCATTTTGTTGCTCCTCCTTTGGCTTCTAGGTGTTCATAAAACTGATGGACGGCAGCTAATGGTAGGCAGCCTAAGAAAGAAAAAACCGCCTTATGCGTGGCGGTAAGTCGAGGACATCGCACTGATCGGTTTTAGTGAGTGATGTCCCTAACTTGCCTCTTTGTGTCCTTTTTAATGAAGAATTGTGACGACTGCTTTCGGTAATAATAAAAAATACTTTGGAATCCGAAACTTTTATTTTTCGAAGTTGTGATTTTTATCCTTTAGTTATCCTAATTCCGGCGGTTATCAATGTTACGGTTTTTAAAAATTTTGCATTTAGAATGTTACAATCTGGCAAACTTGTAATCAAAATATGTTCTAACTTCTTTTGTTTTGTCATTTTACAGGCCGATTTTGCTGTATTTTATTCCTCCTATAATTCAGCTAATAGCTGGATCGTACCTAGTAACATTTTACATACTTGTTGATAAGAAGTTTAACTTCCGTATTTACTGCAAGAGTTGAAAGTGGGTATGTTTTAAAATAAGGAAACCAAAGTCGAGTGACATAGTTTCATTTTCGAAAATCATTATGTTATGTTGAACATGGATATGCAGAATTAACACGAGCATCGCAGTGACAGACATAAAAAGAGTTATTTGCTTTGGAAAACTTTGAACACGTACAGCAGGACCCCTACATCAAGAAATGTGTTGATTTCTGAATTTCGCATAACGCTCCAACTCTTCCAAACTGAAGCTTTTAACTTTTTTTGCCAAAGTCTAAATAAAAAAAAAATTATGGCAAGAGAGAATAATTCTTGAAATTATGTTACAATTCTGAAAGCTTCGATCTCACAAAATAAGGGATAAGAAATTCAATTTTGTTTCTTTACGGAGTAAAGGACTGAATATTTTGATCTTTCATTTACTAAATTTCAAACAACGCAGGCGTTTATTAATGCGACGAATTTTATAAAAATTACTAACAATATGGTATTTCTCGGCAATCGCTGGCAGGGCGCTTGCAGGACATTGGTCAAAAAGAAAACTGCTCAAAGCTTTTGAAACTATCGGGTTCATATCATTAGACGGAACATTAACAACATTGATCCGGTTGCTATCTTCAATGCCGTATGACTCGATACTCGCGTCAATATCTATAATTCAAGCTCTCACAACTGGATATTTAGTTTAAATCTATTTAAATTGCGCGAAAATTTTGGATTCTCCTTTTAAGATAAAGCCAACTACCGCAAGAAAAAGAAATGCGAGATATGAGTTTGTGATTAATTCTAACTTGACGAAATTTAGCACGGAACATAGCTTGGGAAGCAAGTACAGAAAGCATAAGTAAGGGACCATCCGATATCGAAACAACGGTTTCTCTTTCACGTTTCAGAAATATGCAATCACAAGACATAGTGTTAAGACAAAATATTCCTAAAAGAAACGTTCCAGAGGACTTACTGCTAAGAAGATGTCCCTGATGAAGCAAACGCAGGGCGTCTGGGAACAGATCCAGAATTCCACCAATTCTTTCCTTCAAACTTGCTACGGTGTCTTTACTGTCGACCTGAATGTAACAGCCAAGTGAAACAAAAATATGAATGGCAAATCCATTATTACCTTTATCACATTAAAATTTACAAAAGATTCATGATACAGGGTGAAATGAAGTAGGAAAATATTACATTGAGTGTAAACATGCCACCTTTTGCATTCACCCTCTTTACATACAGCTTCATTATTTTCCCAACTGTTCCTCAGTTTTCAGCAAGCAACGACAATTCTATTAATCAGCAATGACTCCTGCAACAATAATCACAGGAATGATGAAATTTAACAAAGAAGGACATTATGTTCTGATCTTTTTCTCGAAAGCAATACAAGCGCTTCAGATTCTGCATAGATACAAACGACCAAATTAATCAGTCCTACCGACTGTTAAACACTAATCTCTCCTCAACTCCCTCGGACGCAAAATAATTCGCGTGACTCCGAGGTGACCTTAAGACTAAATTTTTCATTCGACCCTGATGCGACTATGTAGCCATTCACTAGGAGCGATTAGATTCTGAATAAGTTCATCCCAGAGTATCTGGTAGGTTAAGGGAGAGAGGGGAGCGGGATAAAACATGAGTGTGGTCTGCGCAGGTAGATCGGTCAGCCGTACGTTGTGCGACTGTGGATTTGATGAGAGGCGCTATCAACTTTGTCTGGACAACTTTAGACTTGATGAAGTATCTGCCGTCGTATCGTTGCAGCTCCTCTCCAGTTATCCTGGAGAGCAAAAATCTCAGTGCTTGGTATCTACCACAAACTCTTCTCCATATCATTAAAGCAGTCATCATAGTTAGATGCAGCGTTGACGGTAAATGATACGCATTTCCCTGTCATCTATCTTGTCAAAACGGTAAGTACTTTCAGCATGGAGTTATGAAGTGGATTCCTTCGACATTCGAGGATACTCATTTTTGTGTATATTCCGGAAACGGCAAAAGCAAGTGATTTTTACTTAGAAGAAGTCGTATGGCTATGATACATAAGCAGGGATAGAAAACACTTTATATATATGTACGGAGACAGAGAAAGAGACAAGGTGGAAAAAGAATACAAGCGACTGAGAAATACGAATAAATGATATACAAAATTCCCAGCATGTAAAAAGAGATAAGAATATATAAATATTACCAGTCATTCTGAGCAAAGTTCTGAGTGTTAGAAATTGAGTACGAAACAAAGCCTTCGAAAGAGTACAAGCAAAATCATTTAAAACAGACAACGCAAGATAAAATGGAAGGAAATGGAAAGTTAGAATTTCACTAAAAAATAAAGCAGGTGTTTAAACAGTGGATGTTAAATTCCACCAGTTTTCTTCAGAACTCTTAAAGTAATTCGTAAAATTCGAATGAAACGGGGGGAGAATTACATAAAATATTGTTATATAATAGCTTGTAAAACGGAAGGATAGTATACAGCAGCAACATTAACAATAAGACGTAAATCTGAATAATCACAGCCAATAACGCTTACAACACGCTCTGCCGTGACAGTAGCCGGTGTAATCTGTGTTCTACCCTTGCTATTCCCTGTGGTACCACCCAGTAGCTCTACCAGTGAAAGTGATCGTGTCAGGATATCGCTTAAACAGTCTTCGATGAAAGATAACAAAAATGTTGGAGCTGCGCCGAGCCGATACAAGTCACCAAACTGCTCCAGCATCGTCACTACTGCATCACATGGTGCCGTCATTTGACTTTCGCCGACACTTGTATCATCTCCCGATATCATCTAGATACAGTTCCATACATTAGGGACTAAATTAAATTCCAAAATTTATCCATGTAATATATTGAAAACATCAGTTCGTAACAGAGCTTGTTAAAAAAGATAAAATGTTTAAGTAAACAGTAAAATTTGAAATTTTTAAATCTGCATAGCTAACCTTCTTCTTGTGGAATCATTATTGGTCAACAAAAGCAAACCTTTACGGTGTAATTTGTGGCATCGGCAAGCACCACAACAGTTGGACTAAATGGAGCAGAATCAGAAGCGGTTGATGAAAAGGATGACTCGGGAAAGGATGTGCTGATCAATTCTGATTCCCCGTTTTTTATATGACACATCACTGAGCAATAAGTCTGAAAAAGTACTGCGCAATTAAAGGTACTGACTTTAACAATTTGAACTTGATGTGCTTAGCTTTTTAATGGCTGTCTTCTCATGCCTTATTCTTCATTTAGATATGAAAATCAACCTTTCAAATTTCTATGACGGTCACCATAGAGTGCTCACATATGAAATGAAGCTTAACTTCAGTTAAAATAAAAAGCCTGCTCTCTGACAACTAATATCCTCTCTCTAACGGGCTGCGGTCAATATCGTTTATGGAAAAAATTCAATATTTCAGAAAAGCAACAAAGTGGACAAAATTTAATTGAAATTCACATCTACGAACCTCATTCAAGTCAACGGCAGCCAAGCGTAACCCGCATATAACAAAGTGTGAGCAATAAGAATCGCAAGGCCCAGCTAACATAGACCAAGCCAAACTCGTATCCGTCGAATCACCAGTGTCACATGTTAAAGGAAAATACCATCCAGAACGTTTTGCATTAACACTCGGTTCTACTGTCTCCCGAAGAACCACAAACTCCGGCTCTTTATTTCCAACTTTAAAGTTACATCACAGTAGTACTCACAATAGAAAGCTTTTTATCTTTTCATGTGTTTTTTCCGTTGTTCATTTTTACTTAAAGTATTAAGAATAGTACAGTATTTGCCTAAGATCCCCGAGTGCTGGAAAAATGAGATCTTCACATTTCAGATAAATTTCATGACAGTTAGCTTTAATTTTAAACAGCTACCTTTCTCTCTCAACGAGTATTTTTTGCCAAAATCAACACTACCATCTTCGCTGCAACCAATCGGTGAAAAGGATCTCATTTCTGGCTGTGAATCCCATTTGTCAGCTATAAAATTATAGCATGCTTTTTTAAAATTCCATACAAAAAATCTGATGACATTTCAAAATTCAAATACTGATCGACTGACATCGACCAAAAAAACTGACCTAACCCGCTGACACATTTATCAGATACTGACCCAGTGGCACATTTATCTCAGTACTATCGGGCATCGATTACCTACTGATGGATGCAAGAGCTACAAAGCCTACACTTCATCTAACATTCGATAAGTTGTGGTGTGTTAATTTCTCGAATTAAAAAAAAGTCGGGGATCTAGTAAACAGCCATTATTAAATACAACACATCCGAGAGGTCAGTAAAGATTCAAGATACCCTTATTTCCATTCGGCTGAATTGCTGAGCAACGAACAAAATATGTGAGAATGTAGAGCAAATGTGTGATCAGTTTCATATCATTTCCGATGATAACTGTTCGAGCTAAACGTGTAGCACCGCCTACATTACCGCTTATTTCCATGTACTGAGCTAACTGCGCATTGTACGGGTAACGCATACAATCTGAACTTCCGCTCTAGAATTGAAAATTTGATACAGTTTAAACTAGAGAACTAAATAATGAGTTTTTGGAATACAAAAGTTAAACTTATCACAATTTATACCTGAGCTGAGGGACCGATTAAAATGTAACATCTTGAAAAATGCATTTCAAACTCTTACTGTCCCCATCAGAAGCGAGCGATGAAGATCTTCACAGTCTTCCGATGGCGTAACACTCGCAACCCATGCAAGATGATTCATCAAAACACAAGATAATAATGTGGATACAAAACTGAAACATTTCTAATTTCCAATAATTAGGAACATCGACAAAACCTTGCAGAAAAAGTACAAAATGTCTTTTTTCGCAAACCTCAAAGAAGAAAATAAAACTCACTATCGTGTGGATTTCAAATCATATTCACAAATCAGCGCAGCTAAATTAGTACAGAAGTTGTTGGCCGTTGAAGCATACTCTTTTTCATTCATCAGACTCAACCAAACCGGAGAGCGAAATCGATATGAATTGTACAATAAACAAACATTATGCACCAACTCTAACCATGCCTGCAAATCGAAAATATGTAGCTTCCGCCTTTTTGTAAGAAATTATTAAATTTGTATTTAAACATAAAGTATGAATAAACTTAATATCTTGAATCATTTTTGCAAACTTTAGCAGAATGAAGCTCTTGACAAGCGCATTTTCCAAGTATGGAAAATAACTTTCTAACACAAACCAACCTCAAATAATAAATGCAAAAAACGAGAACGAGAAAGTGTTGCTTTCAGAATTTGAGCCTCCAGTTTGATGATTTCAATTTCAATAAGAGGAATATGACAAAGTAGAAACTGTTTTTCTTCTTCTCTGGAAAACATAATAGACGAGAATAAAATCATTCACTGAAACTTTGTGTTCGGTGATTCGAAAATCGGACTATTCATTCCATAGCAACAGCAACGTAGAGATTATGGGATATAACAAAGTTTCAAGACAGCCAAGATCATATGATCTGGCTTACTAAGATTAAGGATCAAAAGATGATCAAATGGTGACATATCGCGGGTTGATGCGGTATGTTGGTATGCAGCAGCTACATCATCATCAACGGATGTGCTGTAATGTTCAATCGAAAAGCCATGGAAGAGTACAAATGTTGGATTGCGTAAACATGTCAATTAGAATTCATCCCTTTAAAGTCAAAATGTGACATTTCTAGCACAAAAGTTTATCTGTAAGAAAACAGTTTAGTTTTTTTGATATTTCGACTAAGACTTTTTCTTGAAGTCGTGTAGAAAATGAAGTAGTAAGAAAAGTCCACCGGAATAAGACTCCAATTGCAATCTGTCTCGATTCTTCGTCTGCTGTTGAACTACAACTACTTAAGCGACTTCGGCTACACCAACGACCGGAGTTATCTGAAAGCTAGGTTTAATTACAGCTTAACCCAATTAATTACCAAACACAAATTCTCACACCACTTCTTAAAAAGTTAATAAAATCCACACTGAATAAAGCAATTTTTGATACTGATATATAACTAGATTTGTTGTTTAAAGTGTGCACTTATGAATGACAATACAGATGAATACGACGAACTTCAAGCCACCCTCGCAAGTTTCTATTATACTGCACTGCCAATTTATCCCTCCCCTACTTGTTAAATTGAAACGGTAGCTTTCCTCTCATCAAAGAATTCTTCAATCTCAAAAAACCTGTTCTCAAAATATTTTATTTTTTTTTAATCCTTTACTTTACTGAGAAATTCACAAACAAGTGCATATCTGCTGCGAACCTTTACCACTTCTTTTTACCTAAGTTAGATCCAACACCTGCATTAAAAGAAAGCTCATAAACCTGACAAGAATGAACTTCTCGGTTTTGGCCTAGATAGAACTTTCTTTTTTCAATGCCAAATATGATGAAGCATATTTTACTAGAGATATAAGACAATGTTTTCTTCACTGGTGATTCATTAACAGTTTTTGCACAATAAATGCTATCATTTTAGACATTCTCATGGGAAAAGAAATGCAATGGCGAGAGATCCCCGAGAATATTTTCTTGGATGTACTGTTACGAACAAGGCATTTATTTATGTTAACATGTAGTACACTTAACAAAAGAAATATATGTGAAAAGTTATATTCTCAAGGAATAATATTTTTTAAATAATTC